AAAACAATTTTTTTTAATTAATCATATAACATAAAACCACTGAGAAAACCAATTTCAATTCAAACATGAGACTGAGGACCTGGGGCCCCAGTTGGTAATCCAGTCTGGTTTCACACTTGAGAACTATCAATAGGTACTGTACTCCTGAGTACAGATGGTTGCTGGGTCACTTCACTGAAACAGTTGTGGGCTGATAACCTTGCTCAACTGTTTTTCCAGTTAAGAAAAGAATTTGAACCAGCAAACACTTCACTTCTCCAACAAAGCAGCATTTCACCCTGATTTACATGGGAGATGTTAAGTATATAATGAAAAGAGAACATGTTACATTGTAAATGTGGTGCGCATTAAACCATTACCCTGCTAGTGTCAGTCACACATCGACAGAAGGTAAAGGGGATGGACTCACTGTTTCATGTCTTGCATCTGACACTCCATGTTGTCCTGTTGTGTTCTAAGAAGCTGAACTTCATACAGAAGTTTACTGAGGTCCTCCTGACGGACTTTAGTCTCCTCACTCTTCACTATGGATACCTGAACACACAAAATACAGTTAATTTGGTAACTTGTTCAGATACAGCACACAACCACACATTCCCTGTGCTGTGTTTGTGGACAGAAACATCAGTGGAATGTTTGGGATGGCAGTGTCCACTTTGTACTCACCGTGAGGTTGACATTTGTGGTTTTGAGTGAAACTGAAGTGAAGTGAAGTGAACTATTTGATGAATTGAGGAAATGTTGGCACATTTATGTTAATTAATTGTAATAACTCTTGTGATCTCTACAGTTTTCATCCAGTGCCATCATCTGGTAAAATTTATTTAAAACATAAAACCTGCAAAACCCAGCAGTGTAAGGGGTAATCTGTGTTTGGTGCAAATCAGCAAATGTTTGCATGCTAAACTGAGATGGAGTACATGGTAAACATTATACCTGCTAAACATCAGCATGTTAGCATTGTCATTGTGAGTATGCTGACATTAGCATTTAACTCAAACCACTGCTATGACAAATCCAAGTTGTAGGCAGAAGCTATTAGTAGGCTTAAATCCATCTAATGTCAGCATACATAGGTCATGTGCCATTCTACTCTGCCACCAGTCAGCAGTGCTGGAGGGTGCAACACATAAATCAGCAGGCTGATTCATCTATAACTACAGTCTCACACAGCCGCTCTAGCCTCTTAGCCTTGTTGCTGTGAGGGTCTTACGATAGAGGGTGTCAGTACAGAGAGATTTTGGGCTTTGATTTACATGTGACCCATGTTTATGTACTGTACTATTGCGCTACTGAAACCCAGATGGGGCATTTTAGCTTTTAATGACTTTGATGGAAGTCTCTTCATCCTATAGGAGGGTAGATGACTTTGATGTGTAAACACTAAATAAATCCAGTGTAGTATAGATGGAGGCATCCATTATATGCTTCATTTACATGTGCACGTCATCCAAATTAAAGACTAGAAAGATAAAGCCTGTCTTTATAAGACAATTTCTGTCCACTTTATTTGTGACACACCGTATATGTGTGAATCTTTGTGTGTCTATATGTCCATACCTTCCTCTTGATGTGTTCCAACATGTGTTCATGTCCCTGGAGGAAGTACAGATGTTGGAACTCTGTATCGTCTCTCTCAGGCTTCACCAGACCGCTCTGCTCAATGTTCACCACCTTACGGAAACCATCTAACCACACACATATAAGAGCAAACACACACACACACAAAGTATAAATACATACTGTAACTGAGAGAAGAGAAGATAAGACCAAAGAAGAGTGTACTCACACATGTTGAGCTGTCGAACAAAGCTCGCCATATTATTGTGTTTAAAGTACTTGGGCAGAACTTCCTTGGCAAAGCGTCCCTGGTCAAACACATGGAAACTGGTCCCAGTCTGAAACAGTTTAATATAGAGTTAGTTAATAGAGTCTCAGTACATCTTATACAGTGAAGAGAGAGGGAAGACAGAGCCCCACAGCCTGTAAATCAAATTATTTTCTCTTCACTTCATTCTAATGATAGATTTTACATTTATAATCAACATACCAGCTTATTTTTCATTAGTTAGTCAAACAACCAAGGAATCAGCATTAATTACCCGTTTTAACTACAGCCCAGGAAGATGAAAAAGAAAGTCCACGTTCTTTTGAAGTTTTAACCCGTAATTTAGACAAAAGTCTTCCTCAGACATTCACTACAACATCCTACAAGAAACTCAAAGGACTTTCAGCATCCATTTCATCTTCCCTTAACAGAGTCATAATCTACTTCCATCACTACAAACATTACCATTACTAAATTATTACCTGAAAAGTTCTCTAATTAGCGAAGACTTACAACACTTCATGGAACTCATTGTAATGCATCTCAACTTGTAAACATAAACTACGTAAATTGTACATTTCTACCAATTTTGTATTACTGCTTAGTTTTCCAATTTAGAATATAAATTACACAGTATTTAATCTTGTCTTTTGTTAAGTATGACTATTAACATTTATATGGTGGAGGTATCTTCATAAGCCATTGTTGGCTTCCAACCTCTCCTCCACAGTGTTCAAATGTAAAAATATTTTTATTGTGCAAATAAACTAAACATCACAAGTTGCTGAAATTAGTTTCCAGTACATTCAGTACATAGTTTTTACAGACAAGGGTAGCAGCTATGTCAGATCTCTCCAAACAAATGAAGGAGTCAGGAGTATGTTCCAAAAAGGCAAGAGAAGACTGAAATTAGCCCAAAATCTGAAACTCATGTGTTCTGCAGTCCAAAATCGGTCAAATTGAACACTTCATTGGGTTATTTCACATGAACAAGAACATATATTAACCAGTTATTAATTGTAAACAACATATCCCAAATATAAAGTAACCGCATAAGAGTCATAACTGAGATACTTATGTGCATGTAAACATGAATGGACATATTGGACTTTTGAACCCAAAGCAGAAAAGTTATTTGAAGTCATTTTGTGGTCATTTTTACCCTTTTTGGATGCTAAAAAGGAGTTTGTTAATCAGCCCTATGTATACAGTGACACAGTTTTAGTGGTATGAGAGCTGACAATAAAATGGCAACATACCTATTTTAATGCCTTTAAAAGTGCTGCGATTGACTAAACCCTGAGTTTGTTAGTGATCACTGTCATAAACATGGCTCACCACCCGTTACTAGATGGACACTTTATGTGAAATAATGTTACCTTAATGATGTACGGATTACCATATAGTTTCCCCAGAATGCAGGATCTATTCATCGGAAGGGAAATTCAGCTCAGTCAGCCAATCAAACAAACTCTCTCTCTCTCTCTCACTGTGATTGATGAGTCATGCTCTCTCTCCCATCATTACAGTCTTACTGAGCATAATACTCTTTAAAAGCAGCATTGTGTAAAGTATTGTAAATACTTATTGTAAATACTTTACATATGGATTTAGCAAAACCCATTTGCACTGTGAAATGTAAAAAGTTTGGACAATTCTCATAAGACGTTGTTGTTACCTTATATGTAATGATCACTTGCTCACTTGCCTACTAATAGTCTGACAATGCAACAGCTGATGCTGCACTCCAGTGTCATGGGACCGAACAGCATCTGTCCATGTGTTTGTCTCCCTAAGAACAGAGAAGCTGTCCTCTTTCCTGTTTAGCACTGAAGCCTTGTCTTTGTCACACATCAATCCTGCACAACTCATTCCCAAGGACAAACAGAGATAAACCACATATGGTCTGTTTTATAATGTCTAGACAATATAATATGATGTGTTTTTCTCCATGTGAAATGATTAAGCGATGATTAAGAATTTTTATTTGCTCACAGAATTTAAAATGTACCCACTTATCCCAGGTCAAAGGTCAAAGTAAAGTGCTAATGATAGTTGAATAAAAAGTTAAATGTATTTTAATGCTAAAGAAAGCATTACTTTGCCAACAGATATACCAGTTAAACAGATCACTGACTGAAATGCTCACAACCTGACAAACATGAGTTTTATGTGTGCATTATGTTGGCTCATTATTAAAGTACCATATGTATAATATAGAATGTATCACTCAGCCTTGATACAGGTGTACAACCAGTTTATATGACCACTTTAAATATTAGTGTCTGGTTGGGGCCTGAGTGGGAGTGATTTCCCCTCTAAAATTAAATTATTGTTCATGGCCTGAAGAGGTCAAACTTTCAAATATAAAACAATTAGAATATATACTAATATATAAATAACTTGCTATAGCTCCACCTTCACCAGCTACAGCAGTACACATTAATGAACCAGTAACAGATGATGTAATGTATAATGACATATCATTTGTCTGCATAACAAGTACTTTTACTTTTGATACTTGTAAGCTAAAGTATGTTTAGCTCATAATTAATCTGCCCTTTTAGTTAAGGATTTTGACTGCAGGATTGTTGTATTGGTACTTTTACTTAAGTAAAGGATCTGAGTACTACACTGTTCTGGACTTCCCTCCTCTATACTATAGACCACAGACTGTGACACAGCCAGCCATAAAAGTACAGGTCAGTTAGTTCCTTATTTAAAACACCAGAAGTACATTGTATGTATTGTATTTATATAATAAAATATGAATTAGACCGGCTGGTAGTGCTTTTCTTTTTCTCCGGGAGTCATTATACTTACTGTTAGCGGGCCTAGAGTCGATAGCAAGCTAAACTGGTGTTTTGTTAGCGAGGCTAAACTAGTATTCGTTAGCTAGACTAAACTGGAAGGCCAAAGCAGCTAGTTAGCACGCTAAACTAGCAAGTTGTTAGCAAGCTAAACAGGTTTTGGAAGTAGCAGTTTTGTTAGAAAGTCTCAACAAGTATTTGTTGACTATAGTACATTGTCAGTCCAAAGCAGCTACGTTTCAAGCTAAATGAGCGAAGAGTGTTGAGAGCAACCCCTCGTAGGAGTTAGCTCGACTTCAGTCACATAGAAGGTTTTCAGGTTGTGAGGTACAAAATGTTTCTGTGCCTAGTCACAACTCATTTTTGACCCGTGTGATACAGTAACAGTGCTGAACATTTTAACAAAATGGACTGTTCTTAAACAGAGAAGAGCAGGTTGACGATGAACACTATCAGAGTGTATAGAGTGTGTGCACTGGGGCAGACATTGTAGTTATACTCATTGTTTTTTATTTTCTGTAAACTAAACTAACATTCCTCACACAGGTACTACAGTATCACAAACAGTATGTTCTGAGGACTCACAGCGCTCCAGCAGATGAGATGGTTGGTATCTGGATCCTCCACCAGGGTCCACAGTTTAGTGAGGAAGGCTGGAACATTGCTGGCATAGCTGCCATCTACACCCATAGCACCTGGAGACTCCTGCATACTGACACCTGTCCACTGCCAAGACGGCTCACAACAGGAAACCAAATGTGTGTGTGTGTGTGTGTGTGTGTGTGTGTGTGTGTTTGGATGGTGTGTGTCTGTGTGTGAGTGTGTGTGTGTGTGTGTATGTATATATGCAAATTCCCAGACTAGTCCATGTTTGAGAAACTCCACTTCTGATGATCCGTTACTGGTAATCCCAAGTTTGTCTCAGTCTCTTTGATTCCATTTCAGTCAGTCACACTGTCTCGATATGTCCGTGTCGACCTAATTTCACCTTATTTCTAATTTTGATAGAGTTTTTCTTTGCTATTTGTCTTTTCTTGTGTCTGTTTAATATATCCACCTTAATTCTATCTGGGTGTCTCTTTCACTTTCTTTTTCTCTTTTGCTCTTGTCTCTCTGTTCTCCCTGCCACACCAGTCATCCAACTGAATGTCATCACAGAAGGTCCACGTCAGCACACACACACACACACACACACACACACACACACATACACACACACCATTTAAGCCCACCCCCTCTACCCCCGGCCTCCAGTTGACAATCAAGAGAACGCCCAGTAAAACAATACAGCATCAACACAAAAGCTTCAATAATACACCACTGTCCAACCATCAAAAGGCTGCTGGTTAAACTGAATAGTGCATGGTTTAGTGTGTGTACCTGTATGCTAGGTAGAAAAGCCCCTTTTTTTTTTTTCTCCGAATGATCATAAATGTCTTCATGTTGTTATGAAGTGGACATACTGTACTGTTTGTGCAATAACACCAAGTTCAGCCTTTTAACTCACTGATCCAATCACACACAGAGACATTATAGAGTCTCACAATGTAGGCTTATGTTATTTTAATGTGGGGTAGTGTAGGGTCCCACTAGAGAGGGGACATAACAGGATAAGTTCATCCATGGCTGTCAGTCTGTCCAAAACTTTGAGACATATTCAGACGCAGTATTAAAACCACACAAAAATACTCAATTACATGTTTAAAATAAAAATTCAAAGAAACAAAGTAAAAGTACACAAATCAAAGAACTATAATTAAATTATCAAAAGTAAAAGTACTCATCATTACTATTATTATTATTAAAACAGTTTAACCTATAACAAGGCATCATATTTTATAAGGTCATTAGAGGTTTGTATGTAATGTAACTATAGTAACTACAGCTATGTTATGTCATACAGTAATGTAGTGGAGTAATAAGTACAATATTTACCTGAGAAATGTGTGGCATAAAATGGAAATCCTTTCCTTTACTATAGTGGCGAACCTCTATCAACCAGTTTTTGCAGATGACAAAGTTACACGAGAATTGGTGTTGTGTAACATATTTATTTAATAGCCATTCCCATCATTTCCCAATTTAAATTTCACATTGGGAACAATCAGTACAATTAGCAGCTTTGTTGCATTCAATGCCAAGGTCACAGTATAGTTTGTAGAATTTGTTTTCTGTCCTCTGTTTGTTTTTTGGCCACTTGGGGGCAGCGGAACAAGTTGTTATCACAACACTAACATATTCTCAGCTTTTAAGGGTGATATGGCAAACGTGAGACTGAACCAAACAGTTAGGTTTTGGGCTGTAAAACCAAAACAACAAGCTGAATGATACAATTAAGCTTGTACAGTTGAGGAAAACTGAGTTAGTGAGGATTCTCTTGGATTCTTAATACTTTCTTTTAATATTCTCACTATATCAAATTCTGAGTTGGACCTTCATGCAATATGGTTTGGGGGTCTGGGTTGATCCAAAAACAGGAGTGTAGTCTGGCTTCCCTGCATCCTCAGGCCAGATGAATTTGAATCTTCTCAGCAGTGTCACCGTGATGAGGAAGAGCTCCATACGAGCCAGACCCTCTCCGAGACACATACGAGGACCTGCAGATTAAAATACCCGCATATTTTTCATAACCTAATGTCATACCTCCAATGAATCTTATAGTTTATCTCTAAATGTTATAATCATTTTCAGTTACCTGTGGAGAAAGGCATGAATGCCTCTGGCTTCACAAACTCTCCATTCTCATTGAGGAAGTTTTCAGGGTAAAATTCATGTGGAGATTTCCACTGTCCCTCCTCACTCAGCACTGAGGACAGATTGGGGATGATAACGGTTCCCTGAAGAATAATAAACAGAGAAGAGAGAATGTCTATTAAAATATTAACAGATAACTACGTTCACACTGCTAGCCTTAGCACTCCTTCTGATATGGATATGACCTGATCTAGAGTGATGTAAAAGTCACATGAAATCTGATATGACTGTTCACACTGAGGTCGCATTGCAAAAAAATCAGACCTCTACCTGATTCCCTGTGATTGGTTGTAAAGATGTACGCACCTGTGTGTGTACACAATTAATGTTAGCATCAGTTGCTCTGACTGACGTTCCTGGGACAGGAACCTTTTCCCTTTTCTATTATTATTATCTTCTTTTATTATGACAAAAAATATATTTTATACTTACTCTAGGTATGGAGTATCCCATTAGCTCTGTGTCTTTAGTGGTGCTGTGGAAAACACTGAGAGGAACAGTGTCAGCCATCCTCTGGATCTCATGAATAACAGCCTGCATGACAGAGGCAGCTGTTAGAGCACACACTGTAGTATTGTAACATCACAGATATATTAGATAACTGAGATTTTACAATTCACATCATTTTAAAATACAAAAATATCAGATACAAAACAGAGGTGTAAATATTGATGTAAATATGATCCCATTATCCTTATACCTGCACGTAGGGCATCTGGTGCCTGTCTTCAAAACTGGCTTGATCCTTCCCATCCAGAACTTTGTCTATTTCCTGCTGACAACGCTCTAAGGAATACAGTGAGACAGACCACATGGACAGCGGGAGACAAAGTGTGAGACAGTTAAGAGCAAGAGAGAACAATGCAAGATTGTACTCAGTTATATATGGCAGCCTGAACTGTGTCTGCAGAAACGACATGCAGGGGCATATTTTGCCCAAAACTGCAAATGTCAGCCTCACTGTGGTGCTAGAGGAAAAGTAAAGGATCATCAAAGTCATTAGGAAACATTGTCTGGAAACCACGACTGTCTGTGCAAAATGTAATATAAATCATTCAGTAGTTGTTGAGATATTTCAGTCTGGTAGACAGACTGGCACTGTCATCCCTATGGCCATGCCTCTAGATTGGCTAAGGAAAGTGGAGACTAACAGATGATAGACACACATACCCTGTATGTGTGGGTAATTCATAAGGTAGAGGAAGGCAGTGAGCAGGGTGTTGGCGGTCGTGTCAGTCCCAGCAAAGTGAAGATCCAAAATAAATGCACAAAGCTGGTCTTCAGAAAATGACGAGCCATCGTCTCCTCTCTGTCCAGGCGGACAAAAGAGCGAAACAGTGAGTTCATGCTGTTCATTCTGTCACCACTACCAAAGCGTGTCTTACCAGTCAATAACATGCTCGTTCATCATGCCAGCTACTCTAAAAAGAATTCTTCCAATAAACAAAAAGAGGCACACACCGTATCCAGTTCATCCAGGTAACAGTCTATGAAATGCCGCGGTTTACCAGGAACTCTGGTCTTTTTGTTCTCAGCCAACATCTCCAAACGTCTTTCATGTGCCATCTGGGAAGGGAAAAAAGTGTTGATGCAATAATGAAAAGGTTAATTCATTTTTAGAAACTATACATATATAAGATTTAAAAGGCTATTAAAGCAACTATTTACTATTTAGAGTAATGGCATCCTGTGTTGCTATCCTAGTCTTTCTGTGGTTTGTTTACAAAGCCAGGCTGGCCATGCGTGCATGTTTGTGTGCATGTGAGTCCCTCAGTGTGCAACTGACAGAAACGGTTGTTTTCTTATCTATGTCAGTGAATTGAGGACCTTTGACCCTGCTCTCCCCCACTGCAGAGCCTGTGTCAGAATGACCTGGTCATTAGACAGAATCAATTTCCATGAACTTTCACTGCCCTAATTCTTAGTTTTTCCTTTTTTCCCAACATCCTTCCTACTTTTTTTTGTGTGAAAAATTAAAGCATCTACCAGATGGACTGGGATAAAATTCAGTGGAGACATTCATAATTCCTAGACAACTTTTGATGTATACCACAAGCAGGATTTTCTTGTTTCAGATTGACAACTATTGGGTGGATTGGCACAACATTTGGCACAGATATTTGTGTTAACCTCTGGATGAATTATTATTATTGACTTGTATGATCCCATAACTTTTCATCTAGTACCATATTCAGGTCAAGAGTTCAATTTGTACTTTGCTTCATGACCAAATACCTGCAAAACTAATGACATTACCATCAGCCTCAGCTGCACTTTGGGTTTAACGTTACTTGGCTAAAGTTAGCAACCTCACCGAGCCACTAGCTATCAAATTAACCCATGAGCCAGCAGTCCATTTCCCTCCATTCCTTTCCCTCTGGTCGTGACATGGTGTCAAAAATATAATATAATTTGTAAGATTATTATTTCTTTCATTATTTTTTCTTTTGTTTCATGTCAATTTAAACTACCCCTTCATATACAATTAAAATAAAGAAATGATTGTATTTTTATTTGTCTGCTGCAAAGTAAATGGCAAAGGTCAAAGGGGCCAAATGTATGCAGGAGAAAGGTTTCGGGCCTTGATTTGACAATAAAATGATGATTTTTATTTCAGTTAAGTATGCTGTTTGAAATATTTTCAGGCTATTGCGCTTTCTTGTAGTACTTGAATGTTGAAGTGGCTCTCATATGAGATCACAAAACCATAAAATAAACAGTTTAAAAAACATACCTTGAACAGCTTAAATGCTTTCTGGAAGGGGAGTGGCAGGTTGCGCACCAGTGGAATAGAGTCATAAATCTGTATGGGAGAGACAAATACAAAAGTTTTAAGAAGCCCTTTAGGTTTCTGAGCATTGCCTGTTTTTGTGCATTTTTCAGTGGCAGTCTGATGATAAATTGGTTGGTTTGATAAATAAAAACTTAATTATATAACAGTTATAAAAGTTTGGTACTGAGATCACTTATCATACATTGCTAATCCTGACAGTTTCCATTTAACATAATGGTTCAATATTCATCGTCAATCTCACACTGTTTTTAGTGAACAAGTTTACATATTACATTTACTCTAAATTTGTAGTAGTGATGAAATGCCACTGAGAGGTTTTCTTGGCAAAAATGTGACTCACCATACCCCAGCGTCCGTTGATTAGTTTGGAAGTCTCGAGAAAAAGGCCAACAAAAAACTTCATGAACTCGTCGTCATATTCGAACTGCTTAGCAAACAGAACTTGGCAGATGATGTTGGAGGCTGCATTGTGGAACAGCAGATGAGGATCTATGGTCTTACCTGGTAAACCAAGATGAACAATTATTCTCAGACGTTACCAAAATAGAATCACTTATGGTCTAAATCAGTGGTTCCCAACCTGGCGGGCGCCAGAGATCGCAGAGGGTGCGCACAACTTTGTCTGCTGAGGTTGTGAGGTTACCAAAATTATTATTTACAGAAATTCAATTTATAAAATCCCAATAACACACCCAATTGGATAATCAAAATTCTGTAAAATCCAAATTGAAACATATTTTTGGTCCACATTTAAATTCATTAAGCTATTTATTACCTATTTAGTGCGTGTATGCGGGCAGGGGTAGGGGTTGAGGTTGGGGTTCGGGGGGCCTGACTTGGACACAGGCAAGGGGGGCTTCAAGGAAAAAAGGTTGGGAACCACTGGGCTAGATCACATAGATTTTAAAATTTGAAAAAAGATAAAATGAGAAAACAAGATAAAGATATTGGCTTCTGGGTTTCTGTTTTTCAGCACAGAGTTCAAAAGATCACCTTCTAGACCCTGATGACCTAATGTGAACGTACCAACACCCTGCTCCATTATCTTCATGATGTGATGTATCTCTCCCAGAATGCTCTGCTCCATGGACTGTTTCCCCAGACCAAAGTTTCTCAGGGTCATCAGACCAAATCGCCGTTGCTCTCTCCAGGCAGGGTTATAATCTGCTAGTATCACTCCGGGAGCATGAGCTATATGCAAAAAGGTCAACATAAAATTTAGAGGGCAAAGTGCATTCACTTTGAAATACATTTTTAAACGCACTAAATTAAGTTTAAACATTATTATTAACAACTGTTTGTGCTGCCTTGACTCACTGTTGTCAACATACAGGTGTAGAAAAATTAAATGAATCCTGGTGAAAATATGGTCAGCAGTCTGCTATGGTGTTTATCACAGTGTGATATTGATACTACCACCCAGTGGTGAAAGGTAACTCAGTACATTTACTCAACTACTGTACTTTTATAGTATAATTTGGAGGTACTGTTATGTGACTATTTCCATTTTATGCTACTTTTGTTCCTACTTTGAATACCACCCCTGCTACCACCAGATGGTGCCATAACCTTTTAAACTCAACATGTAATCAGTTTGAGAGTATTTATGTTATAAGTTATCAACTTTTTTCTCTGTAAAAATAACAGTTTTCATATTATATGCATTAATGACAGTGTACTGGTAGAACTGATTATACTTTTGGAAAAGGAAAGGAACTAATTACAATTAATTGCAATTAATGTATTAACTATAAGTTAACTAATGCACACACACATACATATAGAGTATATATGTACAGAATTCCCTCTGCACACTCAAATGGTTGGTCAGTACCTTTCACCTGTACAGCGTGATTAACCATTAGGTCCTGTGGTCTGCCAGAGAAGTCAGCAGCTTTGTTGACCAGGGCTTCTTTCAAGGCCTGCAGGCCGTTGATGACAACCGTAGGCCTGGGACCAATGAAAAGGCTGTAGACATTACCATAGCATTTGGTCAACTGGGGACAGAGACACAGAAGATTATTATGTAATTGACCTATATTCAGTGCAATGAGTCAATTAGTAACTAGTTATTATCAGTGTCAGGGGAAATGCTGTACTTTTGTAACTTTTAGCTGTAACTACTACTACTATATATAACAGGATTTTGGTAATATTATTTCATTGTAATGCATAGCCAAAAGGGTTAGCCGACTGGACGAATATAATTGGTTGAGTTAATCATTGTTTGGTTTTGGGGTAATTTAATTGTTTTCCTTGGAAGAACAAGTGAGAGCCGCTGTTCAGCTCTTACTCAGCGAGTTCACTGAGCTCACATCTAACTCTGTGAATTAAGAGTTTATTTTGACAAAACCAAAGTCGGTGTTGGAACAGTAGTAAGACTAACCAAGACAGTTTTGGTGAGTTTGCTTCCGCCAGTGTGAATTAATATGTAATAAATTACATTTTGAAAGTAACTTTCCCAACACTGGTTATTAGTAGCAGTATTAGTTGCAGTAGAATAAGTGACCTTATTTTTAAGTGCATACTGACATATTCCCTTTGATAGTTATTTCTTACCTAACAGATTGAGCTACATTATTTTAAAGCACTTATATTCCTCTGGACAGCATCATACAAAGGCTATTAAATTAATTGTTTTGAGTAACTTTTATGACTTTCCAGTAAAAAAAAGTGTAAAAAATAGATTACATTCATATGTATTCTGACCCCAATTTAGTATGAATATGGCAAGCAAGTAAGTTCTCTTGGAAACATTATTCAACTTTACCCTCTTCAGATCTGCAATGGGGCTCTCCAGATTGAGCTGCAACAAGTTTCCGAAGATGGGGATGGGTCGGGGGCCTGGAGGGAAATTCTTGGCCCTGGGGGAGTGAAACAGGAGCAGGAAGAGCAGAACAGCCACGAAGAGTAGAGCCACAGATGCAAACATGATGAAGCTGTGATTCGGATGAATCTAGCTCTCATTATATTAGCTTTACAAACCCACACAACCTTTGTACAGTCATGTGGCCTGCAGAGTTATTGCATAAGGTCTTTTCCTTGTTAACCACTGATGTGACCTCAATATCTGCAGTTGTTTATCCCTGTAAATGCCTCAATCCTCAGTCCTGTCTGATGGAACAACTTTACACGCTGTGTACCCAACACGCAGTGGAGGGATCACATAATGCATATGCTAATATAATAATAATAATAATAATAATAATAATAATAATAATAATAATAATATATAAATTATAAAAAAAAATATAATGCTTGGGAACACCTCGCAATGACATGGACAGATTTAATAAGCATAATCCTTCAAACTGCACTCCTCCATTAAAGATGTTCAGTTGTGAATCACTTCCCATGGGTCACAAATATCTGAAATGTGAAGGTGTGGATCCAATTACTTTGATAGATCTTTAAGTCATCATTTCATATCACAAAACATATTCATTCCCTCAATTATACATTTTGAAAGGAATCTCTGGTTCAGTCCTGCTCTGCTGATGCAAGTGAGACACAACACACAAACATCCAAAAAGAGACTCAACTACACACAACATGGCCACCCAGCAACCAACCTCGAGTCTGCCAACTTATTGAACCTAAAGAGATTCTGTTTCAAGTTGACCTCTAGTCTAATAATATTAACATAATATTTTGGCCATCACCACCTACAACTCGTTTACAGTTTTTTTACAATTAAGAATTATATTTAGTGTCATTATTGTCTTTGTAAAAATGTATCACCAACGTGGAGGCATAAAAATGTCTTTTAATGATTTTAATTAGCCTTAAACAGCAGTCAGACACTTTGCAGTAAGAACTACCTTTGAGTGGTCAAAAAGAGGATCTGCGCTTCAATCAGAGAAATATGGATGCCTTTTCCTCAGTCTTATATATAAAGATAATCCTATACATAAAATGTACAATCCATTTATTTTACACCCATCTATTTGTATAGATATATAGATATAGATATGTAGATAAAATGTTTTTATATGTTAAAAATCAACTTGAATGTTAAATCGAATACCTAATGCTGTCCACTTGAGGGAGCCATTAATTATCTGTTATCTTGTCTTTTTCTCCCCCAGATTAAAAACTGTGCGGTAGCCAAACTGTGTTAACATTTAAAAGGTCTGAAGAATCCAATTATGTTGGAAAAATAACCACACTGTGAGGGGAATCAACACAAGGTTAATAGTTACAACTCAAGAATGTTCTTTAATAGATATGACACCTCGTCGTCAGCACCACGGACAGTGACACCCAAAAAACACAGTTAACACTGAAGGAAGCCGTGTCAGTCTGCAGGGGGGTGATGTAGGTCACTGCTATGGCCATATTAGTTTATGGGTTAAAGCTGTTTTAAGCTTCACACAAGGTTATCTAGTAACACTTTTGTAACTACAAAGCTACATTCACAGATCCTTCACTCTCTGAAAGAGCAAAAACAAGCTTATCCTGGATTAGAAAAGTATGCAGTTAAAATAACTAAAGAGCTAGAACAAAGAGAAGAAAACAAAAAAGAAGCATAATCTCCTTCCTCACTCTGGCTCCTGGTTCTGCTGTCTTTGCACACCTGCCATTCAAAACTCTGCGCCAGTCTCTGCCGGATCATAGTTCTACTCCTGGTTTTGTCTCTACGTTAAGCCATAGCTTTTAGATTGGTTTGCCTCCCAGTTCAATATACTCCTGTATTTCATGTGTCCATGATTACCTACTGCCTGTCTCGTCAGATTACTAAGCCTGTGTGCCAGTGATCAAACGATTCCCTCTGCCAAGTCTCCCTTGGATAACACCCCCAATCACCTGACTCATCTCCACCTTTCTACAATCAACTCATAAACTCTCAGCTCGAGAACCTGCTCTCCCCTCCCATTGTTTGCCAAATTGTCTCATCACCTCAGTGTTAGTGTGACTCTCAGCCAAATGAGCTTCGAAGATATTTCTACTGTTTCTTTGTCGTGCCTCAGCTAACTTGTTTTTTGTCCCTTTTTGCCTCAGCCTTCCAGTGCCAGTGTCTTCTCCATCCCCTTCCTTCACGCTGCATCAGCTTTGCTTCAGCCATTCTTCTCGTTCATCAGCCCTTCCATATCCATAATTGTTCATTAAAAATTCGTACTCAACTTTACCCTCCATGTGTGTCGGCATCTGGGTCTGCAAAAAAATATAGTACAATTTTCTTCTCCCTTAATTCATGCAAAACAGTTTGTATGGTTTTCATTGACACCGTGACAGAGAGGTGTTGATTCTGCTCTATGGTCATTTTTAAGAACATTGCTAACTCTGTCAAGCTACAGCTGAAATCTGTCACAGTCAGTCCATAATGCAATGCTGTTTGTCATTTGGTGTTCAATGTACATTCTATTAAAAAAATAAAAAAATAAAAAAAATAATGGGAAGACTGATAAGATGTATATTGCAGTTTATTTTTTTAACTCATGAATTGATATATCTAAAATTATATTATAGTACCCCTCATTTATTATACAAGGAATGTTACACACTAGAATAAAAGACTAAAGTAAATTTCCCAGAATGGCCTTCATCATATCAATTCTATATAAATCAATTACAGATTATACATGTCATGAAATTAATGAATGAAACACAACTAAGCAGGAAGTACATATATAAAACCATGTAATGGAAACAACCGCTCCCCTATCCAGTTCATTTAGAGTAGAAATCTACAATTAGAATATTTGTGTGTGTATTTGGAAAATAATTGGGTTAAACAACAACATATACTGTTTGTCCATGTCCTCTAGAGCAACACACAGTGATTTCTGATCTGATGCCCCTATCAGCAGCACAAAATTTTGTTGGAAAATCAATCTGTTATATGATTTATTACAAGTCCAATTTTTTGTTGATGCATCCATCCATCCTGTCTTCATCCCTACGCGGATTTTGTCATATCACCTGACCTGACTGACCAGACCTGATTGTTGATTCCAACTTAACAGGATTGTTGCTGTTTCTTGACTTGACAACACTTCTTAGCTGCTTGGAGAGGCATATTGGTATCCAGGAGATGGTGGTTTTGTTCATACTTATCAAACAAAACTTAGTTACAATAATACAATCTCTGAAATAAAGTTTGGTGTACCCCAGGGATCTGTCCTTTGCCCAGGGCTCATTTATATCTATACACGACCCATGGTCACATTATTTGCAAATACTGGCTCAATTTACATTGCTATGCTGATGACACTCTACTATGTATCTGTAAAGTTCTCCCAACTATTAAATTTAGAGGCATGTCTGAAATTTAAAAATACATACGTATGAACATTCTGCTGTTAAATATAATAATAATTTAAATTAATAAAATAGTTATTAGCTGTTAAACCAGCCACTTTGCTTGAGAATTTGAGTGTTAACGATGATGGCTGTATTATTTCTGAAAAGTCAACCAAAACATAAATGACAGCATTACTAATAATAAAATCTATTAATAGTCATTCTATTGTTTGCTAACAGTAAAATAACTTTCACTTCATTACAGCTTACTCTTGAACTTAGTCAGGTCCATCACTTTTTTAAACTTTTTTTTTTCTATGGTAAGACATTGCTGATGAAACGTTTCTCATACCAGTGGGGTTGCTAACTAGTTTAACAGTGATGGTGGCTGGACCACTGAGCAGGCCATGACATTCAGATGAAGCTGCCTATTCAAGCCATTTTACAGCAGTTCACGGTTGAGTTTTAGTCAGGTTTAAAACAGAGTCACCTGTCAAGAGGGCTATGTAGATGTATTAACATTAACATTATATCTAGGCTTCCATAAATATATATATATTACCCACTTTTTAGCACCTTACTGCGTTGACCTAGGTTGGACCTTTATGCGATAAGGTTGGGGACTCATTGTACCCCCAAAGATTTGAGTGTAGTCTGGCTCTCCTGCATCCTCAGGCCAGATCAACTTAAACTTCCTCAGCAGCATCACCGGGATGAGGAAGAGCTCCATACGGGCCAGACCCTCTCCGAGACACATACGAATACCTGAGACATGAAAAAGACCTCAAAGTCATCTACAGCACTTTTGTTGCACCCATCCTATCTGTGCACGCAGGTGTGATTTATTGAGGCCCATACTGCTTTTTTTTGCTCTCATACCTGTGGAGAAAGGCATGAAGGCCTCTGGTTTAACAAACTCTCCCTGCTCATTGAGGAAGTTTTCAGGGTTGAATTCATGAGGGTATTTCCATTGTCCCTCCTCACTCAGTACAGACTTCATATTAGGGATGACCAGCGTACCCTGAGGAGAAAATGGGGCAAAAAAGAAAGGGCAGAGGGGAAGGCAGGAAACATTCGTAAGAGGTTAAGATTTACTTATGCCACCCAAGTAAAGGCCATGTTTGTGCCATTACTTAATAGGAATGAGCAAGTACACATTTCTTACTTTGGGAATGGAATATCCCATCAGCTCTGTGTCTACAACCGTAGCGTGGAAGACGTTGAGTGGAACGATGTTGGCTACCCTCTGAACTTCATGGATCATAGCCTGGATGAGAAGAGATTTAAACAACATGTTGGGAAACTTAATCTGATTTAGGGCAGAAGAAAAATAATGCAGACTCTCAGAAGCTCAGCCACAAAAAACCTGCAATATGGGAAGCTGCCGGCAATATGCTGACAACCAGGCAAAAAGAGACCATGATAAATGTTTTTTAAAAGCAGTGATTACAATTGATCTCCAAATTTTAGAGCATTTGTTTTTGCTCTATAATCTGCTCTGTGTATATTAGAGGGCTTGTAGCCCAAGCAGATTGTAAATTGATTCTTTCACTAGATTTACTGTTTGACTTTTACACTTTGGTGTATGGTTGCCTACCTTTAACAAACGTCTGTTACGCTCTAAGAAATATGGTACTTACAGATGCATGTGAATGAAAGTGAAATTATTATGAGAAACCTGTATTATACCTTACCTGCATGTAATGCATCTGATGTCTGTCTTCAAAACTGGCCTGATCCTTCCCTTCTAACACCCTGTCTATCTCCTCTTGACAGCGCTCTGAGAAATAGTGCAGAGAGGGGAGGGGGGGAGAGAGGAAAAGGATACTGCTCACATCACATTGCTTCTGTTACAAAGAAAAAAACAAAAGTTAGACAGAAATGCTATGATAAACTGTGTGAGAACAGAGCAACAGAAATAAGTCAAATCAGCAGCTGCTGCAGAAGAGAAGCTGACATAAAATCCACATTCTACATGTAAACCCTCACTGGTGACTAACTCATTGTGGGTTGTGGTTAAGATAAGCAATTTTGTACTTTGGCATAGGTAAAAAAAAAGAAGGTTGCATGTAGCCAACGATTTCTTTATCGTAACTGTACTCTTACTTACAGTGTAGTGCTCTCTTCATCTTGGCCTGTACTCTATGAATAGAGAGAGGTAAATGGCGAAATGATAGATGGCTTGAATGACCAATGTATTAAACCAGAAATAAGACATGCAAAAATATTAGTTGCATTGCATGTAGTGTCCTGGCATGCTAGATGGTTGCAAGTCTTACAGACACAACTAACAGAGCGGCGTTATCAAGTAATTAAGGTCAGTTCCCTAAATTGTCCAAATACCCAAATGGAACTCTTGAATCTTGGCTGGTTAGTGTGCTCTCTTCAAGTGATGTGGTCCAGTACAGGATTTCTGAGGCTGCTACTGATTGATATTTGAGAGTCAAAAAAATCCCAATAATGATTGATATTCATGGTCAATATTCATTTTCTTTCCACAACCCATAGCATTAATAAATGTTTTTGATATGGTTCCCTTAAATTAAGAGAAATGCGATCAAAAAAGGAACTACAAAAGACATTGTGAATTGTGAATAATTAGCATTTCTGTACTTCAATTTCTTCTTTATTTACCAGCAGTTTTTACACCTGTGTTTTTTAGTACAGTGACAAAATGTCTTCTGTGAAAGAGGCCTATGTTGGAAAGCCTATGGCACATTGCTGGAAAGGAGGCAGTAGCTAATTGTCAAAGACTAATGAGGAGCAATGCAGGTTTTATTCTAGACAAGGACCAGTTCTGGTCTAGCAAGTGCATTATTGTAATTAGGCAGAGGGGACAATATTTGGGCTAAAATGTGCATTTACTTCCATAACACAGTGTGCCTGAGTTGACTTATACTGTCTTTGTATAACTGGAGTGACAGCTTTGTCTATATTCTCAGCAAAAAGTCTGTATTCTTAGTGGGTGTTGGGCTCCTCTGATTATGAATTTAACAGAAGGAATTCCTGGGCACGAAAAATTGATGGATGTGAAGATAAAGATTTAAAATAGATGAACTATGGAGCTAGTGACAGAAAAGCGATAACTCATATTTACATGTACTGTGCTGGCATACCTTGCATCTGTGGTTTGCTTGTAAGGTAGAGGAAAAGAGTAAGCATGGTGTTGGAGGTCGTGTCAGTCCCAGCAAAGTGAAGGTCTAGAACGAATGTACACATTTGGTCTTCTGAAAATGTAGAATCTTTTTCTGTGTCCTGAAAAAAAGAAGAGGTGCTTTATGGTGGATAAAGAACAATCAAATATATACCACCTGAGGCAAGCACAGATGCTGCCCTGTTGTCTTTGCAAACTTGAACTCCTCACAGACCACTGACCCTGATGCTGTGCTCATTGTTGCCAGACTCTACAGTCAGGCTAACCTTAAAAACTTCAATCAAGAGAATCCTGAAGGGAACTATCACTGGTATAGAAACAGGACCACAAGGCCCTACAAAGAGTGGCTTGCTGAATGTACAATAGGTGGTGCTCTATGCAGCCAAAAAGACATTTATAGCAGAAATTAGAATAAGGCTAGGAGAGTCATCAAGGATCCAACCACCTGTATAATGGCCTTTTCTCCCTGCTGCAGTTGGGAAGAAGGTAGCACTGAAAGGCCCATTACTATTAAAAATACTTTTTACTTTAATTTTCTCACATCACTTCGATAGTAACCATTATTATTTATTACATTTTCTATTGTTTATTACTATTTTGTTTTTACTGAACAAATTGCATGAGCTAACTGTAGTTTTTAATTTCACTACCTGAACCTGTATTATTATATGTGACAATTAAACTTAAACTTGAACTGATACACACACATACGCATTAAGGGATGTAAAAAAGAGTCAGCTTACTATCACACACACACATTTTGTTAGTGAGCTGACTCTTTTAAGCCACAATACACACACACCTTTTCCATTTCATCCAGATAGGAGTCAATGAAATCTCGCGGTTGTCCAGGGACTCTGGTCTTCTTATGCTCAGCCAACAAGACATGCACAAAATTCTCAGCATTCTGAAAAACATAAAGGCAGACTCAGATTACAGGAGTTTTAAAATCCTAACTGATTTTGCAATCAGGTTGTATCTCACACATAAGGAGCAAATTCACACAATTTGAGATTATTGTACCAGAGGGAGTAATGCACCACCTCACGTGATCCCATGGGGATATAAAGAAAATGGAGAGTGACGTAGCGGAACAATTTGCTGTTGAAACATGAGGTCTGTCAACAGTAGTATGCTTGCTAATGTTAGCCTCAAAGGCAAAAAAGTTTACTGTAGTTTGGCAACACTTTTAAAAATAAAGACTTTAAGGTCTGGAATGTCGCAAAATCTAGGGAGAAGGTCACAAAGTTGGCAACATTGGTCTCTCTATGATTGTTTTTGTGTGTGTAAGAGTGTGCATCATGTAGCATAAAGCTAATTCATTATTTGTTTCTTTCTTTGTGAATATATGTTGGTTGTCACTAAATGTTTGTTTGACGTTAGAGGAAAAACAATCCATTGTACCATTGATGTTCATATCTCTTTGTCTCTTGCATATTTAATCCTCAATATATTAATTTTAATATTAATATTAATTAAAAAACAAGAAATTAACAAACCTTAACATTCTTGAAGAGCTTGGAGACGGGAAGTGGCAGTTTACGAAGTATGGGAAAAGCTTCACACAGCTGTAAAAAACAGCAACAAGTTAGTAATAATTACTTAATTTAAATTCAAACACACATGCTTCCTGGCATTAACTGCTCTAAACAGATTATTTTATTAGATATTTTACTAGAATAAATAACAGCTAAGTAACAAAACAGCAAGACACCAACAGCTACTGCAGAAGTATTGCATAACTATGGATGGTTTGAGAAGGCAGTACTTTAGGCAGCCCCATAGAGGTTCTGGAGAACGATGTGGCCAAACTTTCTCATCCGAACCCTAGGGTTACTAGTTAAAAAGGGTTACTAGTTAGTAGTAACTTGGGATCTTAAAAACATGCTTTGACTCACCGTAGAGCTGAGTCCATTGAGTATCTTTGCATTCTCGCTATAGCCTTTAATAATCACATTGATGAAATCGTCATTTTGATTGTAGCGTGCATTAAACAGAACCCGGCAGACGATGTTTGAGGTTGCCAAATAAATCATAGATTCAGGACTCATGGTTTTGCCTGTAAAAGACAAAGTGTAGACTTAAGTATCACACAACATTGTACAAGAATACAAAGGAATATTTCCATAGCACAATGAAACTGTTATATGGCAGCACACGCTCATGCAGTGAGCAGAGTGGCAAGAAAATAAAAGTCAATGGAACACGGTGGAGGCCTCTTTAAAAGTAACTCTTACTTTAAAATACACTGACATTAATGGATGGTTCTCAGATGTCAGTGTCATTAATTACAGTTAACCCTGCCTTCCGTATGAGGATTGCATGGACGACATGATGACATACCAATGTTTTCATCCATTGTATCGATGATGAATTTTATCTCTTGATGAATCTTCTCCTCCATGGCACTCTTCCCCATACCAAAGTTCCTCAAGTTTGTGAGGGCAAAGCGACGATGGTCCTTCCATCTGGGGCCATAATCTGCCAGAATCACTCCTGCAACAGGTTTAATGACACAAATGTAAAATTGTCTCAAAATATCAGTCTGATGTGATCATTGCTGTTCTATTCCAGAGCATTTACTCTCACAATACTGACAAACCTGAGACATTGCTGTATTGGGGAATAGATTCAAGACAAAACGATTATATTCAGTGAGCTTTTCTCATTGACATTGTTCATAGTTAGTTACACTTCCGATTCAGCCTCAGTGGGAAACTATGCTTTCCAGGAATTACAAGATTCTGGCCAAAGTTTTTCATCTCAGGCAAGCTATAGGCAAATAAGAAGCAACTACTATTTCACGTCATGCTAGAAGCGAATACTAGAAATTCTCCAGGTCATTGCTGCATCACTGGAAGAAAAAAAACTTTTCAACAGTCCTGAAATCATCAGTCAGATTAAGGCCCTTGCAGAGTTCCTCTCTCATCAAAGTGATAATCTTGTCTCCAAACCTAGTCCCCTGCTTTTAATTTTTGGCACCGAACCATTCACATACATTCACCGAATGTATGAAAATGTTCACTTGCTGCCTAATATATCCCACCTACTGACAGGTGCCACGATAACCAGATAATCAGTTTTATTTACTTCAGCTGTCAGTGCTCAGAATGTTATGGCTGATTGGTGTATACAATTTATATCACATTTGTGGTCCTACCAGCCCTAGAAAACAATATAATAATAGTTAGACAGGTGGCATTACTTCTGAGACATCACATCCCTTTTAATTGGTTTTCTTTGGAAAACCAATAAGCCCAAGATAGCCTAAAAGAAATTCATAGAACAATATGTATACTAGCTGAACATGGATTGGGCAGCTGTTAATGATAAATACATTTCTTGCAGATGATGATGGATTAACTGCATGGTTACATGTTATGGTTTATCAGTTAGAGCCCTACCTCCTTTAAAGAGTTTATTGTACAAACATACATGTAGTCTAATTAAACTCATTAAACGCAATTGTACTTCAACACTTCCCTTTGTTGTATTATTATACATACAGTACATATAGAACGAGACACACTCCTGACATATGCACTCTGAATGTCTAATTACTTTTCTTTTTTATTTAGCAAAGTTTGATAAAACAATGTCTGCCGTGTGACATATTGTGTCTGTGTTACCTTCATTTTCGGAGAGGTCAGCCACTAACAGGCCTTGGGGTCGTCCAGCAAAATCTTTGGCATTGGTCACAAGAGCCTCCCTAACGGCCTTAATCCCATTGACAATCACAGCCGGTCTGGAACCGAAGAACAAACTGTAGACATTTCCATAGGTCTTCCTCAGCTGGGAGAGAATGAGAAAACATGTCAGTGTTTGAAATACATTTATATCACACAATTATAGATGGATATTACTCTTTAAAAGGGCAATTCACTGAAATCACAAGAACATATTTTGCCCACTTAGTTTAGTTCAGTCTTTAATGTCTCTGGGACATTTGGCTTGCAGCATGGCAAAAACAGACGATATCAGACTCATCAGCAGAGTGCAAAATTAACTTTTTTGTCCACATCCAAATGTCTAGTGAATGCTCGAATTCAACAATTACAGGCCTCATTTTATGTTCTGAACTTGTTTATTTATTCTAAGAAAACCATATCTATGATCATTTCTAGAGCTTGCTCCCAGATCTAAAATAATATTGGCATCCATACCTCAGGGACGGTTAATTTAACAGTCAGGAAAACGTTACATTTGTGTGTTGGTCATTAAATAAGTTTCAAAACAAAAGTGAACAGAATGTCATTGCTATTCCTAAGATGTATCTATTGGCCTTTTTTGCATTTTACTTTAAAATTGTATTAATGCATTTGATATTAATTTGCACAAGTGCATTTACTTCTCTTTATCCAAAATAGCTTTCTAGGTACAACTCTGCAAGAGTATCTGTGCGGTTCTACTTTCGTACAGCGTCTCTTTCTGTGAAATAACTCTTGAAACTCGTACTGTTTAGAAAAGCAGTACATTGGCCACTTAACCATTTTTAGACACATTTTAAGTAATAATAATAGTAATTACATTAATGGCATACGATTCATCACCAACAACATTCGTTGAAGCATTATTTCTTACCCTCTCAAAGTCCTCCAAGGGGCTTCCTACGGTCATTTCCAAAAGGTTCCCCAGTACTGGCACGAGAGGGGGTCCCGGTGGAAAGTTCTTGGGCCTCCGGGTTGTGAGTTGAAGGAGGATGAAGAGAACACAGAGGCATAGCAGGATGGCTGAAGCAAACATGGTGGAATCGATTGGAGTCAACTGAAGGGGCGGATTGTGTGACTTGTTTTTAAAGTGCAGCTCAGCTCTGCCCAGCCTCTTCCAGTTGTTTACTTTGCTTCCCCGTGTTAAAGGTGAATAAGAACGTCAAACATGGTCACACACCCTGAGAGGCACAGGTTCTAACAGGCTTTTCAACTATTTACTATAAACATTAGTTTACCTGTTGCTAAATTGGTTCAATTAAATATTATTTAACAAAGCTATATAATAATAATATAGCTAATGTCATTGCTTACCGGTGGATTGGAATAAAGCTAATGAGTTGTAATGTAACTAAGTATATGTACCAAAGTATTGTACAAAACTGACTTTACTTTTTTTTTTTTTGCATACAAAATATGTGAGAAGTAGATAAAATATTATGTTTTCTGATATATCAAACTACCCAACTGTATAATGTACAGCTGAAGTGATTACACAATAAATTGACAGACAGAAAATTAATTGGAAACCATTTTGATAATTAATGCAGAGCTACCAAAAATTCCAGTTCCAGCTTCTTAAATATGAGGGTTTGTTTCACCTTTTAATAACTTTAATGTATTTTTAATAATATTGAGGTTTACACTATTGGTTGGACAAGACTAACAAAGTGTTACTTTGGGCTCTGGGTAATTGTGATAGCATTTGTCACTATTTTAGAATTTTTACAAACCAAACAAACAATTGGTTAATCAAAAAAGAATCAGCATGATTAATTTTCATTGGTTGCAGTCCGATACAAAATAGTTAAAAATGAGCTCCACCAAATACAACATTAAAACCCTGCTTATAAGAATAATAGGTAATAATAATAATGATAATAATTGAATGATAAATAATTCATTAAAAGGTGCCTTTTTTTTGCTTTGAAGTAACTTTTAAATTTGACATAAGTAGCATTTTCAATACAGGGCAGTATATTTATTGTATGTGTAGTACTTTTACTCAAATAAAGCATCTAAATACTTCCACCAAAGTGTTATATAGAAATATACTATATAGCCAAATCATCCAACATTGCAAAAACATTTGCAACATTTCAGTAAAGACTTTCAGTCAGAAGAGTACAACACATAACTGGTTTCACTGGCTGTATTACACCTGTAGTTTCTCTCAAAACAGAGCTGAGTTACATTGGCCATGAGGAATTGCTAATCCCTTTAACAAATGTCAACTAATGTCTGATCAACACTGCCTAAGGGACAAACACTGTAGGGTCGTGGCTGTGCCTATTTTCTTGTAAAACCTAAGCATAAATTTCACTTTTTTGTTGCTTGTTGCTTGACCTAATGTTAACATAACCCATGTGTGATGAATAATAATAATAACTAATAATAATAATATGATAATAATAATATAAGTTATATTAGCAGTGGGGGTCAAACAGAACCAAGTCCCTTACAAGTTGAAAAAGTTCACTTTGCAGATCTCACGATCTCTGGAAAACTGGCTCCAAGTGTCTTGGATAATTCATTTTAATGACCTTGTTTAGATATTGTGATTCTTATATTCTGAAGTAATGTATAGCTCCTATACAGTGAATTGGATGGAGTTCACGTCTAGGCATCTCCTCCTGATCCTTCTTAAACGTATGGAAAATTCCACAAAATAAAACAATGTTGCTGTCCACTGTGCAATATCATATTGGTCAGATATGAATTGGAGAATTTCAGGTCCTGTGATATTTTTTATCTTGTGCACACAAGTTATTATCTTTATCTAATAAGGTGAAATAAATCCCATTGAAGTTGATTCAGAATTATTCCTTTAGAAGTTCAAAAACGATATTAATGTGATGTGTTTTTTCTGTGAATTTAAACCTTAAATGGTTTTTTCTCTTCTTCTGGACCTGCACATTGACCTATAAACGCTGCACACATAGAAACTTTCAAAATCTATGAATGTTTCTTTTTACATGATAAATACAATAACTCATATTTACTTATTAATTCAATTTGTATTTTAATTCACTTTTGTAAATTTAAATATACTAACAATACCAGTAACCTGTATTTTTTTGAAGGAAATTGAGTCTTAAATACCGAATTAATTAGGTAGTCCATGAGCCAGGGGGGTTGATCGGTATCATCGGGGGGACAAATGCTATCATTGTTTTTTGGCAAGGTATACAGCCCTAGTACTAGAAAAATCATGATAGCAGTGCAGGGGTGGTAGCGAAATCACTTTTTTCAGCTCATGAAGTTACTAACCCCCTAAGATAAATTCCGTTTTTGAAATCTGGTGTATATCTGATTTAGGCTCATGGTAAGAATATTGTCAATATTCCATAATATGGTGCTTGGTATCGTTGGAAAGGGGACCTTTTAGGCTTTCATTTAAGCCCAGTACTGAATCTGTCTGACAAATACAGAGGTCACATGACTTCTTTAAACCAGAAATAACACACATTTTCTCACAATTTCCGGCTTAACTGTATGCTTTCTTTTATCCCTGGGGCATGAAGGAACATCAGGGACACAAAACTCAACAACTTCAATACTCAAGGCACTCTGATGATTCAGAAAATGTATAATATACCCATACTATTTATTTGTGAGAGCCTTAAATTAGAGTGCACGAGACAAGCGCATAAATGCTGACGATTGGCTGAGGTTGAGTAAAATTTAATGGTAAGCCAATCAGAGGTAGAGTTGGGCGGGTGTTCGAAAGCACGCATAGTCGGACACACAACGAACAACACAAGCGAGTCACTCAACGAGAGACAGGTATGGCGAGCCCAAATAATCCAAAAGTAGCCTTCTCTAAATGGAAGTATAGCCATTACTTTTCCCTCCAAGAAATTAAAGGAACGAATGTAATCGTGAAATGCACATTATGCTATTATTATTATGTTAGATTGAAAGCACCTCATATTGTTACACTGTTCTACTTTTTCGAGGAAGAAAATACTTGAAGTACAGTATATCTACCAAAATTTGTAATTCATTTTTGGTATAGTGCTTAACAAGCATAATTTAATTTTGCCCAGTTGTGGCCTGTTGAGGGGCAATAAATATCAAAAGTTCCAAAACATCTATTATGTTATTTGTATGGATCCACTATATAAACATTATATCTACATACATGGCATTTGATTGGAGGCTAGTCTCACTTTGTCCCACAGCAACATTAAAATAGTTTAGATTTGTGTACATTGTTTCTGTTAATAATGGATTGTATTAAGTGTCCATTTCATTATAATATTCATAAATAATTGAACATGCACGTGTATTTTAAGTTCCATTAAAGAGGGGTGGAAGTGGGGTCACATTTGAGCATTTAAAAATGTACTTGAAAGTAACGCAATAGTTACTTTCTGAAGTAACTAGTTACTTTTATAATTTGTAACTGAGTAACTAATTTAGTTACTTTTTGGAAGAAGTAACTTGTAACTGTAACTAATTACTTTTTAAAAGTAACTTCCCAACACTGGAGGCAACACACACTGCGAGCTAACTATCAGGCTGGTATTTGGAGAAGATGTTTAGAAAAGGACCCACAAGTACCAAGCCCTGTTGGCAGAGGATGGAAGATGGAGACAGAGGAGGAAGGTGAACAGTTGGTGCTGCACTGGATGGAAGGCCGGCCAGCACCTGAAGCTCTCCTGGATCTACTCGCCTGCAACTGCACAAAAAAATGTTCACTCGATGTATGTGTCTTGCAAATGGCCTCGGGTGCACAGACATGTGTAAACTGACAAAGTGTGAAAACCAGGCGACCTGTGTAGAAAGTTCAGATTAAGACGAGGACGACATGGAGAATGATGATGATTAGATAATAAAATAATGGATATCAACATACAAACCAGTCTTTGATTAAATATATTGACTTTACAACCTGTTTCTTTATTGACTTTTACAACTAATAGGGCTCCATCCTATTTGTCCGTTCTATTCGCTCTATTCTATTTTGAAGACTTGTGCTGGCTGCACAAGTCTAATTTAAGGCTCTCACAAATAAATAGTATGGGTATATTATACATTTTCTGAATCATCAGAGTGCCTTGAGCATTGAAGTTGTTGAGTTTTGTGTCCCTGATGTTCCTTCATGCCCCAGGGATAAAAGAAAGCATACAGTTTAGGCGGAAATTGTGAGAAAATGTGTGTTATTTCTGGTTTAAAGAAGTCATGTGACCTCTGTGTTTGTCAGACAGATTCAGTACTGGGCTTAAATGAAAGCCTAAAAGGTCCCCTTTCCAACGATACCAAGCACCATATTATGAAATATTGACAATATCCCTACCATGAGCCTAAACCAGATATACACCAGATTTTTAAAAAAAAAGAATTTATCTTAAGGGGTTAGTAACTTCATGAGCTGAAAAAAGTGATTTCGCTACCACCCCTGCACTGCTATCATGATTTTTCTAGTACTAGGGCTGTATACCTTGCCAAAAATCACTATGAGACTTTGTCCCCCCGATGATACCGATGGCCCAAATTTGGGGCCCTGGCTCATGGACTAAGGCTATTGAATGTATTTTTAACAATCCCTTCATTTAGCCTCACGTATATCTATTTTTTTTCCCCATTTACTATTTTCTACTTAACGTTACATTTTAAGTGTGCAGAAGAGCAGGTCGGAACTAAAGTCGCGCTTCGAAAATCGCGACGGGATATTTTGACAGTGACACAAAACGTCATTGATTTGGAGCAGTACTATCACATCGACTAGCCGAGCTCGGTAAGTTCAAGTCCCAGAGAGACGGTTCACCGGGATGAGGAACCGTCCTCCGCGGACCCTGAAGTGTGTCCGGTGGTGCGTCTCAAAGTGTCGCTGCTCCAACATGACACGGTGTTCTGTTGCTAACAGCGCTGACAACAGCTCGCCTCAATGCTAATGAAGCTAACGCTAGCCCGGCGGGGGGGCTGCAGCCAGCACACGGGACTTTAACCTGCCGCTAAAGTACAACAGCAGAAAGCCGGTGCGTCTGAACGGCGTAACGTTACCGCAGACTGACTGCTGTGTTGAGTTATGGTGTCGTTAGCCCAGTGTGTCCTCCGGTTTAAAAAGGCTAACCTCTAGCGGCTACCGTTGTTATCGAGTGAATCCCCGGGGCCGGTAGAAACGAAAGGCTTTGGTCCGTGAAGCAGACCTCGAGTTCATCCTGACCTTCACCTCACTGTACAGCGGTTACGGTATCCTCACGGTACTCCTGAGCCGTCTTCTTCTTTGAACGAAATTCCGTTTAAAATGCTACAATTTTTAATTACCTGTAATGATTAAATATGACCACGAGGGGGAGCCAAACCACTCAACCAGGTGTGTTCAGTTGAGTCCTCTTCTGAAATAAACGGTCTCACGCATTTCTGGTTATGTAGCTGTGTGATCTCACTGTAGCTGTGTGTCATAAAGTGATAAAACCTAATATAATACAGTGTGCATTTATACGAACACTATTGTAAACTATGGCTTAAACATCACTGTGGAGTTGAATCTAGGGTTCAAGTGAACATGGGCAGAATTGGTAAATGTGACACTGGTTTATCTCTTGTACAGAAATACAACATGATAATGTATAAAATGTATAATAATGTCGAGTCCAAATGTCAGGAAAAGCCTGTAGTTGATAAGATATGCATGTATTCTAACATTACAGTGTTAATCTAGATCTCTTTTTAGCAGCTGTTATTTTTAAAGTGCTCTAATTCTATTTCCATCACTGAAACTTTACAACAGATAGATTCATTCATTCATTACCGGGGCCTCTGTTTGAAAAAGACAAATTCATATTGCACTTGTGAATCTATTAGTAGCGTGTTATTGTCCTGTCCGTAGTGAGTTTGAACATGCAATAATTGCATCATTGAATTGTTTTGATCTCAGGGCTCGAAATTCACTTTTTGCCTCAGTGTCCCGCAGCTGTCCCAAATTGTACTTTCAACTGTCCCAGACTGAAAGTCCTCTTTGTTCAGTCTACATAACGAATACAGTTTAATAACTTTGTTTCAGTAACTTGCATCACTTCACTGACTCACTCTGGTCGGCCATAGTTGTTCCCTGCACATCTGTCTAAATAAAAGTGAAATCACCTTACGTCTGCGATGGATCATCATTAGTATTTAGTAAGTAATCAAAAAATCTCTTGAAGAGTCATTGTATATTTGCAGTACTGAAGTGTTTCTAAAAATCTACCTAGAGTGGGAGAAGAACAAACATATTTAAATATTTACAAACTCAAGCTAACTATTTACATATAAGCTATAGAAACATCCTAATCCACAGATCCGGAGAGAAAAGCGTGAAAGAGAAGGTCAAAAAACTGTTTGCATATGTACAGGTTCGTGCAAACTATTTACTAAAAAGCTATAGAAACATCCTAATCCTGAGAGAAGGTCAAACAGTCATTTGCATATTTACAAACTATTGGAACAAACTATTACAGACATCTGGAGAGAGAAGGTCAAACGTGCTCTCCTGTGCCACATCTGCCGACTGTCTGAGCATGGCTCAAGAGGAGAGGGAGAGACCCCGTTGCTGTTGCTGCAATTACTCTGAGCAGCATGCATGCCAATGAGTTACAATGAAATATATATGAATATACTCACTTTTTTCCCTGATAAGTCGCTGTATCTAGCGAGAAAGTCAGCAACCATGATAGATTTTGTGTGTGTAGCATAGAGTATGTGCTGGTGCCACCTCACTTTTTTGCTTATTTTCCAGCGCTGCAGCTGTGGTTTTAAAAGGGACACAGGCTGAGTATTAATGGATTAGGTTTACTCATGACGTTGCTGGGCGTGAGTGCCCAGAGGACAACCAGTGATATAGACTTCTTCACCTTGTAGGATATCAGGGCCCAGCACTCTTAAGTAAGAAAAGAAATGTTTTGGACTGATACTCCAAAGTAAGGTGTGTCTATGTGTTTGTGTGTAGGTAAGTTGTAATGGCAGGGGGAGGCTCAGCAGGAGTTGACCTCAGCAGGAAGTTTGTGACAGAAGCTGAGCTTGATGAGCAGAGGAAGAAGAGACAGGAGGAATGGGAGAAGGTCAGGAAGCCCGACGACCCAGAGCGTAAGAACATACGCACTTACACACGGTACCAAAACGCACTAAACATCTAGAGTACATACAGCTGTGTGTACTTCCACATATTTGATTGTGTACTCCTCAGAGGCCCCGGAGGAGGAATATGACCCACGCTCCCTCTTTGAGCGACTGCAGGAGCAGAAAGACAAGAAACAAGAGGACTATGAGGAGCAGTTCAAATTCAGTGAGTCTTTGTCTCCGTTTCTCTGTCACATTAGGACTATTACCTCCCACTGTTATCTAGGTTTGAACCACGACAGTCACGACAAAGGTTTGTTCTCAGCTGAACCCATTAGTACTATTAAATGAAACAGTCCACGCCAACACTCAATTTTCCTGATTTCAGTTCTAACAGTCGGCATATCTTAGGTCTGTTTTTGCAAGTTATACAATAAAAGTTCCGCACACACGACTGCATTAAAATGTTTTTTATATTCTGTGTACTCCTGATAGTAGAATAACGCACTATACACTCTGTATACATATATATGTAACCCACATACACATCGGTGCCCCCGAGCTCCGGTCAAGGCGTGTTACCCCTGCTGTCAGCAGCCGCGTGCGTTGGCCTTTTACCAGGACTCTGGGTTTGTTCCGGCAGCAGCTCGGACAGCCACAGGAGCGTGGACATAATCATGTTGCCGTACTCCTGGTACAGCAGGGCCTATGGATAGACACCAGCACGCGCACACGCACACACACACACACACACACACACACACACACACACATAGAGTGAAACAGTAAATATCTCTGAAAATCGAAAATATCTGGTATAATCATACAAATATTTGCACACAGCAGAACAATATGTTTAAAGTTTTCTGTTCAAAAGTTAGTCTTTGTGTTTTTTCTACATGTCACTGGCAGATGGCAGATTTGTTACTGTGAAAGCCATATCCCGTCATTCCTTTATCTACATTATTTTACAAGAGATTAATTGGGAACAAATTCCCACTCTTCTGTTCAAGCATTCATAAGACAATTGTTTGATAGTGTCCGTGTTCAAACTACACAATAAGTGTCATAAATCTGTTTAAAGTACACAAGCCTTATTGTCTTTAGTTTCTGGGGTTTCTTTTCCACAAAGGTCGCCTGTGTGTGGATTTTAAATAAACTCTTAGGGTTTGTTTTCTGAAAAATGCAATCAATCTACTGCCATGTGTTGAGAGCATGTTTGTTTCCATGGTGACAGGGAACATGGTGAGAGGATTGGACGAGGATGAGAGTAGCTTCCTGGACGAGGTCTCCCGGCAACAGTGCCTGGTGGAGAAGCAACGCAGGGATGAGGAGAAGCAGGAACTGTTGGAATACAGAATATCCTTTTATGGCATGTTTGTTTCTATGTTAATTAACTAATTCATTAACCAATATTGCTCAGTGATTATTTGCCTAAATATGTGAGTAAACCACACTTGACACCACTAGGCGTTTATAAACACCTGGTTGCATTTATTAAACTCCTGCTGGTGTTTGATAATGATCTCCACCCTGTGGCTTCCACAACCAATACATTTGAACTATAATCACCCTGTCAGTAAGGGCAGACCACACTACTCAAGCATTGATCTCTTTTGCTGTTTGTTGTAGCCTAAGGAAAATCCCAAGTACGCCCTTGGTTGTTATTTTAATCTATAGTTCTTATTTATTTATTTGTTCATTCATATGGTTGTATGTTCAAATACTATGTGAAGCTGAGTGTAGTTATATCAGCCAGTTAATACGCAAAGGACCGCAATAAGCCAATTTGCCTGCTGTTACTATAATATTCCTGAGGGTGGCAGCAGAGGACCGTTTAGAAAATGAATTTTTCCCTTGTAAAAAAAAAGATCATAAATAAATGACATCTTCTTTATAGTAAGGAATCCATTCAGTGTGTAGATATTGATGTTATTGGAAAATGTACACATGTATTTTATTGTATTTGTTTAGTTTAATATTATGTAGTTAGATTATGTCATTATATGATCCCAATGTTATGCCTTCATGCCAATATAGTAACCTACAGTATAGTAGGTGTGATCCATGTGATCCATCTGTTCATCCTCCTGAACTGACTGCTTGTGACCCCTGTGCCATAGTATATCATATTGATTTACCCCTTACAGTTTACAGTAAGTCCTCCTCTGGCTTGAAAAACTGAACACTGTAGTCTTTACATTGTGATCATACAGTGACAAAATAAATAAAATAATACTAAACTACTAAACTAAACTAACAAATACATTTAAATAAAATAAAATAAAATGACTGTGTACCTTTTCACATTAATACAACTCTATATAATATCAGTATCTACACACTTGGATGGATCCCTTACAATAGAAAAAGAAAAGAAGGAAATAATTAATTTAATTTAAATGGTCCTCTGCTGCCACCCTCAGGAATGTGGCTGAAACAGCAGGCAAGCTGGCTTCTTGCAGTTAACAAGAATGAATGAGCAGCCCATTGACAGTGTATAGAACAGCCTTTACCTGTTAGATGGCTGAGATAACTACACTCAACTTCACATAGTATTGGAACATACAATCATATGAATGAATGAATGAATGAATGAACAAATAAATAAATATAGTAATAAAATAGCACCCAAGGGCGTTCTTGGGATTTTCTTTAGGCTCCTCAAACAAACGGCAAAGGAGATCAATGCATGAACAGTGTGGTCTGCGCTTCTTCGTTACTGATTGGTTGATCATTATAAAACCCCACCAAGCGTTTATTAGACACATCCAGGTATCTAAAAAATGAACTTGTCTGTGCTCTCCGTCTGTCTCTAAATGACCCCCAATCCAGCGTGGCATTTCTGTAATGATTATTTAATATCAACAGATATAGGTGCTTGGCCAATTCATCAGTGTAGCTATATGTAGGAAGATGACATCCCCATTCTTAATCCCGCCTACTAAGCTCTGATTGGCCAACTGTTTCTCCTACTGGAGAAATCAGATATGAGTGGGTGCAATCAATGAACACATCGTTTGCCAAATCCCATCTGCATCATATCGCTGCATGACTTAACCTCAGTTTTTAACCCATGAAAGAAGAATACGAATATTTTGTAAGAAGCTCGGGGTCGTCCAGACTTGGCTCTTACTTTCTTCACTACATTACAGCACATGCAGCATGTCTGCACCGTACAATGTCTAGTGAAAGTAAAAGGTGCATTATGTGTTCTTTTGTCTTTTCCATTTCTGTTTAGACCCAGTTTAAAATTGTCTATTGTTTGGAATTTTCCTCTAATAAAAATAAGATTGTTATATCTGATTAAGAATAATATTAATATGATAATCAATTGGGAAGAATTCACGTATTTAGGACAGAGTAAAAAAAAATAGTACACCAGATGAGATTCTTGCCTATCCACAGTGCTCATTAGAATACGTGTCCAGTACTTTTGCTTGTTGCTCTCTGTGCTTTTCATGTGTTCCTCTCTGTCTGTCTCTTTGTCTTTCCGACAGACAGGTTTCTGACAGACAGATTTGTCTGCAGATGAAGAAGAGAATGGGTTGTCGTGGAAACTGTATCATAGGCTGGTAACTACGGTGATGATTTAAAGCAGTTGCTGTAAACACTAAGTACATGCGCACACACAGGTGCAGACCTTAGTTATTGCAGTGAAAACTCAGGACTGCTCGTCTGCACCTCACACATATCTGATGCCCCACTTTGTGACTGCTGATTCATATCCACTTGTCCCTTTTGTCTTATACCTGTTGTGCTTTGTCTTTCCGTGCCTCTCTCGCTCTATTTTCCTCTTCTCTCTGCATCTTGACCCGATTTCATGTCTCCCGAGCTCTGTCCATCTCCTGGTCCTCTTTTAGACTCTATATCTGTGTCACCTCTCTCTGCCTGAGCACTTTTCTTAGCCTTTTCAGAACTGTGTCACTTTTTCCAGCACACTCATGGGAAGATGAAATGGCTCCCCCTGAAGGGAGCGCAGAATGTAACTTGTTGAATGGGCTGCTGCTGAATGAGTCGCATTTTTCTACCTGCCCCCGAGCCCCCACTCTCTGCTCCCTCTCAAAGGCTCCATTATGGTGTATTCACCTTAACCCTGTGCTTTCACAGCGCTCTAGTGAAGAAAGCATCCACCGAAAGCCGCAAAGAGCCTGAAAAGAAGGCAGCACCTAAACATTCAGGGGCAGAACAAAGGACCAGCCTCCTATCTCAGGCCCATTTATTGGCTGGAGCTGTCAAGAGACGCAGGTACACATCCTTTAAGCTGGCATTAATTGATTTTATTTGGCTTGGGGGCAGCAGAACGAGCTGTAAACACAGCACTGACATCTCCATATAAAGTTGACATGATGAACCTTTTAGCAAGCAGTTGCTTATTTACACATCCAGAAGACCCCGACCAACATTGGCATTCATTTGAAGTTTTGTTAGTGTCCATCTGATGAATATAAGTCCTTTCTCTCTCCTTACCAACTTATGAGAGAAATAGCTTTCTCTTTAGCTCCTAAATGCTCCACCATGTTCACCAGCTGGCCAGCTAACATTGTTGGCCTGCTGTTTGAATGGATGCATGCACTTTGTAACATCTCACCTATTGTAACTATGAAAGTGTTGATTAGAGCATCTCTCTGTTCTCTCACCCAGTTCCTCCCAGTCGTCAGACAGCAGTAAGAAACAGAAAGTGGAAATCACAACGACAGCAACAGCAACGACAGGAAATGGAGAGAGACACACAGGTGGGCTGCAGCCTGAGGCCTATCAGAGGAATGTCTGTCTGAAGTGGACAGACATTAAGTTGTACACCTCTTGGACAACTGGACAATAGAACTGTCCGACCAGAAAGAAACTCACTGCTCATGAGTGAATGATGCATAGATTGCATACATAGGGTGCGTTTTTCTTTGACATGCAGAGCTAGAATTATAATTGGAAAGGATGACTGGCCCTCTTTACGAAGTGGAAGTGTGATGTAGATTCAGCTGTTTACTCAGATTTTAGGCAGGTCTGTCTCATAATGAAATCTTAAGAAAAGAAACAATGAGACAGAACCCTGAGTCTACCGTCAGGGCTAGCAGCTGATCCGGTTCACAGTAGATCCCACAGTGTAGTGGCACTGAAGAATGGTAGTTGTTCCCTGGTTAGGCCCTATATTAGCCAAGGTGAGGTGTCTGCTCTTATTTTATCCACAATGTTTATTCTGTGCTGGTCTGAAGTTTCAGATTTCATTTTTATTCATCTCGTATTCTAGCTCTCACCTCAATGCAAGATGGTGTTTGTTTCATTCAGTGTACAGGCACTCTTATGCGCATAGTCTGCTTGCAAATACACTACTCACAAAAAGTTAGGGATATTCCACTTTCGGGTGAAATTTATGGAAAATGTAAAAAGTTGATGCTACAGTGATATTATATCATGAAAGTAGGGCATTTAAGTAGAAGGTCAAATTAAGATCACCTGGAAAGGTTATAGTGCATTTTATGTACATCTTCTGAAATTTCACCCGAAAGCCGAATATCCCTAACTTTTTGTGAGTAGTGTATATATACAAACATTTTGAATTCATCAGAATAAATGACTAATTACTAAATGAATGACTACAGCATTGAAAGTGCCTGTTAAGTTATATTCAATTTTTCTCTGTCCTTTATAAAAAAAGAGCCTGATGCGGGGATGTCTGCATGTACAAGACCTGAATCTGACAGTGTGTTGTGTTGTTCAGAACAGGAGGATGGAGCAGGAGGAGGAGCAGGGGGAGCTGAAGCTCAACAAACAGTCCCCGGCCTGAAGCCAAAGTCCCCCTCGGCTCCCCTGAGCTCCGGTCAAGGCGTGTTACACCTGCCGTCCGCAGCCGTGTGCGTAGGCGTTTTACCGGGACTCTGGGTTTATTCCGGCAGCAGCGACTCTGACAGCAGCTCGGACAGCGAAGGTAGCGTGGACGCAATCATGTTGCCGTACCCCCGGCACAGCAGGGCCTACAGATAGACACCCGCATACACACACACACACACACACACACACACACACACACACACACACACACACACACACACACAAACACACACACACAACCTGACGTATGTGGGCATGCCTTCAGAATGGCTTGCAAAAAGTCAGAACAGGTAACCTCACACACAGAGACACGTTAAAGGTCATACACACACAGACTGATAGAGAGATACACTGCCTGCGGGCCACACAAGTTCACATTATGTTAGTCAAACACTGGCAACGCAAACACACATACACACACACACACACACACACACACACACACACACACACACGTAGCAAACATTTTCAGTATTCCTGTTGTTTTCACAGCTGTGAGTTGAACTGTTGCTCTTTGTCGTCAGACAAAGTTCAGCCCGTTAATATAATCCTAATAATCAGTAACACCAATCTAAACTCTATTCTGAGCTAAATCTGTGTATCTATTTGTGGTTTTTGCTATTGTGGCACTCAAACATGACACCTCCACCCTTCCTTCCCTCAATCACGTCTCACGCAGTTTAAGCCGAGCAACCAATCCCGCACTGCCTACCCCGACGACATCCTGCCCCCCCCTACACCCCCCCTCCCAACCCAAGCCACAGCGACTGCAAGCTGTGCTGTTGGCTGAGGGAACAGTGATTGACAGCTGTGGAGCAAGGAAGAGACTGCTTTTAAACTGTGTCACATGACTCACACCTTTTAGCTATCAGCAGCTGAGGAGAGAGAGCCGGGGCAGGACACGCTTCTCTCTCTCTCTTTCTCTCTTTCTCTCTCTCTCTCTCTCTCTCTTTGGGTTAGTCTGAATGGTTTGAAAAGTCCTGTTTTTATTTGTGTGATGTAATGTGTTTTCTCATCAGTAGTTTGTCTCAAAGTCACATCGTGCTGGAGAGATGATGGACTGTTTGCTGCTGTCTCAGGCGTTGGAGCTTTGTTTTGTTGATCTGAAATAAAAGAGCTTTCCCTTGTACTGTGTTTACTGTGCATATTTGTGTGTGTGACAAGAGACATGGTGCTAGTATATTTGCAGGATACTGAGAGAAAAAAAAAAAACAACAACTTTATTTTATTATCAGGCACCAATTGTGGATAGTACATATACTGCAGTAATCCAGCCTTTGTCTTTATCTGGTACTAGGCACCACTTCCTTCAGGTCAGTGGTTCTGGACCATTTTGTCTGTGATAATGTCCACATCTGACCACTCACCTCAAAGTACGGTGTGTGTGTGTGTGTGTGTGTGTGTGTGTGTGTGTGAGTGTGAGTGAACATGAATTATGAATAATTAGCACCAAAGAGTGATTCTTCCTTTTTAAGTTGTCATTTTAGCGGCTAGAGGCCTGGAGAGGTAAAAGTATCCTGTATTTCAAAGGAGAAAATAGCTTAATTTAGACTGATCATATTACGATCCCTCAGATTTCTTATTGGCGTACCACTGAATGAGGGAAATACTGTCACAACTTACACAATAAATTATATATTTTAGGATTACACTAGTTCCCCTCTGAGTGTGGCAAAAATATCACTGGTGCTGCAACAAGCCTAGTTCTGACCTCTGAATTATTCTCAGTGTGTTCCTTCAAGGGGCCCGTTTTCAACACACAGCCTATACAGTAAAATGAGTCCAATGTCAAGACTTACGAGCCAAACCATCGGCTCTGTGAGGCACTACACGTGCCAACATATTCGTAATGAAGGTGCAGAGGATTTGTATGTTTACCATCCACGTTTAGCGTGATAGCATGTTAAAAAGTCAGTCAAGAAAGTTATTAAAATGCATCCTAAAAAGATAATCTAGATCTAATTAGTCTTAACCTAAAAAGGAGCAATCTAATAAGCCCTACAGCTCAGGCCAAAATATGAAGCCGTTCTAGCACCACCATCTTGTGGATCTGTTATTTTGCTGCCTGTGCACAGGTCTGAAACCTGAAGATAAAAAAGGAAACAAAAAAAAGTATTGAGGTACAAAATATATCAGCAAGTCTTCCTATAAAAGTAGTTTGAACAGGTTTGGGAGATGGATGCTTGGACCAGTGTGTTAGGGGTTAAAAGATCTGAGATGTAGCTTGGAGCCAGACCTACATGGACCATAAAATTAATGTGTGAAATTGGACTAGATCAAAACTAATTCGGGTAATTGGATTCTTAGATGTGTATTCGGTCCTCATTAAAACCTTGGCAGCAGAATTGTGCGTGTGAAGCTGAGCTCAGTTAGCTGATTAAGACAGAAAAACAGGGTGGCAGTCAAGGTGAGATGATCTCAAAATCAACTGAAGTCTCTCAGTGTCATTAAACAACCTCAGCAGTGCGATGTTTGTGCTTCTCTTTCGCTGATAAAATGTCCTCTCCTGTCATATAGGAGATGATAGGACTGGAGGATAATTTTATCTTGTGTTCATGGCCAGTAACAAGCATTTTTTTCCAAGGACAGTTCACTGACATCATTAAGGCAGCCGTTGGTTTCTCAGTTTAACCGGCAGATGAAGCTCAGTATCATTGGTGTAGCTGTGAAAAGAGTTACCATGACAACAAATAATATAACCAACGTACACAGAAGATATCAGGATTTTTCAGAGAGGAGTACTAAACACAAATGCTATAGATGACAATGAGTCCCCTGCTGCCACATTTCTTTCAATATGGCAATTATTAGTTTGTTTAATGTGGTTTGTGCCAATGACAGCAGCACCAACACATCCACGTACTGCCAAAAAGGTTGAAGGATGGAGCTGCGATGAGGATGAAATCTGGACTGGATTTTTTTAGGAATTATTTTCCTCTATTTGTCACTTTTAGGAGTTTCTTTGATGCCAGACGTTGTGTAAACTGAATTCACTCTGCCCATTTAACTGGTAGCAGCAGGCTGTAATTCAGAGCTGAGGAGTAAAACACAAATCTGGTGCAAAGGTTTTTTTGTCACCACCCACCTGTTTGTTTTGCATCTCTTTGTAGTCAATTAGTCTCTTTGTAGCTGTTTTGTGCCACTTTGTAGTTGTGTTTTTGTCGCTCTGTGGTTATTTTGTGTCTGGTCGTTTTTCATATCTGGATGTTTTGTCTCTCTGTAGTTGTTTTGTGTTTCTTTGTGGTCTTTTTTTGTCTCTTTGTGGTCATTTTGCATCTCTAGTCATTTTGTGTGTCCTGTGTGTATTGTTGTGGTTGTTCTGCTCTTATATCCACAGAGACAGTGCACATGTGACATTTCCTTCAGTTTATTAACCTGAGAGTGGACATAGACAAAACTTTATAAAATCAATAGCAACACATTTAGTACAAAGATGCACAGCAATACACATAGTAGTAGTTGAAATACACAATTCAGCACTGCATAAAAAGTACATTAAAAACATGTCAGAAACATTGACTAAACATAAACAGCATCATATAAATATACATTCGATACATATGCATATCAGAAACTCCTCTTCTGTTTCCACTCTGTAAAACTCTGACACTAACAAGCCTTCTCGGACACGTTCTATGCAATGTAACACTTCTTTCCCTTTCAACAGAATCTCATTAAAATATTTACAAAATCTGATAAATACATAATTTGAGAAGAACAAAGAAATCATGCGTTTGTGATCATCAGCATCAGTTTGTAAACAGTGAGTAGATATTGGCAACATGCAGGATGAACCGAAGTCATTAGAAATCAAAGGAGTTTGCAAAAGCTAGCAAAACGGCCCCGTTTTTAACAGCCTAATGAGTTCACACAGTATCCCACATCTATCCTGTGTTAGTGCTACAGCTGCCACTATGGCCTCATCCTCCTCTGATTCTGTCCTCTTAAATCAAATAAGCACAGTGGAGCAATAAAACCTGCCTATCAGATGACTGGTGATCAAGACTCACCCCAGTGCTCTGTTCAGTCCGCCACATGTGAGCACAAAAGCAAACAGCCTTCATCTGATCTGCTACCTGGAAAGGTTCCATAGGACAACAGGAGGGGATTCAACCACTGATATATTTCAGCTTAGAGAGGACTTTACACCGAGGAGTTGTATGTATTACATGGTATCAATCACAAGACACTCACATGCAAAAGAAAAGAAAACTACATCCCGATGAATCAAGATATTTTTTCATTTCTCTAAAAAAAAGGCCAGTGTTTTACCTGCATATTCATATATATCCATATCATTTGGACACACCTGCCATCACTGGAGACATGCAAGGTCCTTTACACATTATCATCATAGTGTGTGTGTGTGTGTGTGTGTGTGTGTGTGTGTGTGTCTTCTGGAAAGCTTTACGAAACAGAAAATATCATTTCGGATGGATTCACACTGGATATTAGCCAAACATTCTTTAAGAAGTAAAAACTTTTCAATTATAATGACAGGGATGTCTTCAATGTTTTGTCTTTTTGTCCACAACTTATTTTTGTTCACAGCTGATATACACACTTTCACTCTGTATTGTTTGCTGTTAACGAGAAGAGAGGTTTTGTTGAGCTATTGTACAGCGTGTGGGCTCTCGTCTTCGGGGCATGTCACTCCGGTGCTGGGTTGGTGGGAGGTAGATTCCGCTGTTTAAAGTACTGGGTGACCTGCTGAGGCAGCTCGGCCAGGACCGACTTAGCAAGGGTCTCCTTGGGTGCCTGACAGAGAAAAAGAGCAAGAGAGCACGTTCATGTCTGCAAACACACAATGCAAAATGAAGGCTGAAAAAGGTTAGAATTCTGGTGATTGTGGTCTCTTTTGGTCCCACTTTGAGTGATCTCTCCAGTCAGAGAGCAGGCTGATGGTTGCGTGATGTTTACTGTACTAGTGTATGCTCCTCTTTGCATTTGTTGGTCTGTTTTTCAGGTCCCTTATGAAGGAAATTAAGGAAAAACCCACCAACTTGCTCAAACAGTCAGGAAGGAACATAAACCTTACAAGTGAGTAGATAGAACATAGATTATGTTTTCTGATCCAGCAACCATTGAAAGTGGACTTTGGATGTTTACTAGTTCAGTTTTTTGACATGGAGGAATTTATGGCCAACCTGATATTTTTTCCACCAAAAAAGCTGCAAACTCATTACACTCGAGAGAAAGGAAGTCGGGGGCTAATCTTGTTGGGGGATTAGTTAGCTTCTAAACAGTAAACACAAAGCTTCTTCTTAAAAATGTCATAGTGAATCGGAAAATGTGTTTTTCTCTCAGCTTTCCTGCATTCTCTTTTCTGACTTGTCACAGCTGAGGTGTTTCTCCATGGTGCCTTCTGCTCGTCGGAGATGGTCTTTATCTTTTCAGGTGCAATACCATCAATAACTTTCAGTTTGAAAGAGTTTCACAGTCAAAATTATCAAAGAGCTAATCAGCAGAGTCTGGTGTTAACCTTATTGACATGTACATAAGCTTGCATTGCATAAAAAGACAACATATACGCTAATATATTTACCTTTTCTTGACAGACATATCAAAGAAAACACCAATATGGACAGAAAGATCTACTTCCCTGACAACAGTACTAGAAATACCAACATTAAACACAAAACAGTCCTAAGTTTTCTGTTCTGAAAAACACCATTAATCTTTGCCTGAAGTGCTGACACTTGATGAGAATTGCCAACTTTTTTCAACAATGAACAATCTGTCCATAATGTACTTTACATGACATTTTGGTTCTGAGTAAATTGTGAATCAGATTTATTCAATTTTAGATGCATTCCACATCTTGCCTACTTGTCATCTGTAACCCCTTGCAATGGCTCTATGATGCCCCTTGAGAGGAGTTTGAGAACCACTGTTATCATCCACTACTTATTTCCTACAATAGCCAGACCAATACTGGATTTATAAAAATAAAGTTTAAAAATCTAAAAATAACATATCGATTGATATATGGTTTTCATAAACACATAACATAAACTTTGATACATTTTAATAAGAACCCCTTAAGAGTTTTAAACACAATATGTACTCAGTAGAACATTTTGTAGTTAAAAAAATAGCTTAGCGCTCAGTGCTCTTTGATGGATATAATATATAATGGAAACACTGTCTAAATGATCACAAACATATGTTTGCCAATTCTATTCTTGTTTCTTATAAAGAGACATACACAGATAGTGATTTAATTTATTGGTCTAGCTCTATTCCCTTTGAAATATCTATAACCTAGTAGAAGACTCAACTCTCTGTCATGTGGAGTTCCTCAAGGTTCAATTGTGGGACCTGTTTAAGTATCCCATTACATGCTTCCACATTATCTATTGGTTTGGCCGTGGCTCTTATCATTGCTATGCTGATGATGTCCAGTTTTATATATTTATGAAACCAGACCACTGGCCATTTTACATAATTATCCTAATGCGATGAATGCCTCGATGTGTCAGTTTTCTGAAGTTAAAAATCACAAAAATTCTTTACACCAAATTAGACCCTGCAAAATTCCTTAGTAGGTTTCCTGGCTTCTAACCCAAAGTTGGTTTCCAGAAACCAAGTGGCCATTTCTGATTCCCAATTCAACTTTGATAAAAATCTCAAGTAAGTTATTCAGTGCCGCATCCCCTCTCGTCTTTTCAACAGCTTGAACAATCAGTTTGGTTTCCTCACGTCTGGACTACTGTATTATTATTATTTTTTTTTATTTAAATACCCTGTAGCACAATTAGTTCAAAATATTCCTGCACAATTGCTTACTATGACTCTACAGTGTTCCTATATCAAACTGATGTTGGCTTCGTTATACTGGCTTCTGGTACAATTTAGGGTTGAATTTAAAATAGTTTATTTACTTTTGAGACAATCCAAATGCCTTGGCGTCTGTTCAATTATTTTACAACAATAGCTAGTAACTTAAGACAATCTAATCACCACCAACTACACCAACTTTATGAAGACAGTAATTTGTAGTGAAAGTAAGCCTGCCAACACAGCTAATCATTTTAGGTCACTCATTATTAAATTTCCTTGGTCTCAGCTTCATTTCTCCCTCTTCCTCTCTATTATGTCTGTTGCTGTCTCTCACCCTCCCACCGACGCACTGGAATGAAGCCAGCAAACACTGTCTGTTCCTCCCACTACAGAGGAAGTCAGATCGCCCACCACCAGCCCACACACACAGAAAATTTACAAAATTGACCAAAAATGCCTCCCGTGTACAGCCTACAAATGTACACACACAAATTAGTCCATGAGCTCACCTACAGCGCACATGTATGGACACTCACATTAACACTTTTTATATGCGCAGTATGTATGCTCGTCAACACAGAACATTGCACGCTCACTAACAGTGTCTCTGTCAAGTCTGAGATAACCAGGCAGCTCTCCTCATCTAACACACTCTGTATGTGTGTGTGGTTTGCGACCAGCTACAATCTGAGTAGCAACAGGCTGCCATTTGGTAACACATTCACACTCAAGACAGCATGACATCATGTGATTAGGTAAAGCCTCTATTGCAGAACTAAGATGGAGTCAAAGTAGCACTGTAAATCACATTGGCAAGTTGAAACATTAGCTTCACAATTTAAATCCGAATAACTCCCTCAATAGTCAACCAATTGTCAAGCAATTTGGTTTGTTGCAAATCAAGAAATGTATTTATGATACTTGGTTGAGGAAGAAAATACTTCTTTTGTAGAGAGTAACAGTAATACAGTAAATATATATGTAAATAGGCCTTCAACAAACACTAAAGTTGAAAGTAGGTTTCATTTTACATTACATTTATATTAAAGTATTAATATTTTGCTCACTTACATTTGAAGTCACAGTCCAGTGTATCAGCATGGTTATGCAGTGTAAGAGTTATACATTCTGATAAACCAGTTTTGTACATCTGAAGTCAAAAGCACTAGGGAATTGATTTACACAAGAGAGATGACCAATAGGCTACAAATTTAGCTCTAATCTCCTATAAATATATAAAAAGATTTATGACTGATGAAAAATAATAATAATTTAACATGGTGAACTATCCAGCAGATATGGAGGAACATTAGCATTTATTTGGAGTCATTTTTCTGGCCACTTGATGAATGTAAGTCCAATAATCATTCTCTTTTCGCTCTGTTTTTGGTCTCTTTTGGTAGAATAAAGTGGACTCTTAGGGCTTGCTCAATGAAGCGCTTGTCAAAACCTAAACTTTGAAGTGCATTGTACTGTAAATATACTTATTAATATACTTATACTGAAATAATATTAAATACTTTCAATCATGGCATTGATATTTCTCGAGAGACTTCTCTTTGAGTAAGACTACGTTAGACACACAGCAGTTCAAGCAAAACGAACAAAGACCTTTTAATTTCTCTGCCAGCCATTAACAAAAACAAAGACTTAATGGACATGTTGGCATTGGTTACCAATTGCCCATAAGGATTACACTGTAGCCAGTTTGTGGCTGCAGGCTGCAGCTCTCTCACTCAATACTGGACCAAACTCAAAACGCCTTAGGTAAGTAGCACAACTTTCACTTCTGGGATTGGAACTCATTTAAAAAGCCACTGGATAGAAAAAACATACAAAGGCCCTGGAAACTATTTTCTCCATCAGCTTACTATTAGTGATGGGAGCCTACATGAACATAAAGTTGTCTACCAAAGTTTTTTAAACCATCTTTTCACACATTTCTGTCCGTGCTGTTTTATCTGAGCTCTTCTCACTGGTTTGAAGCGGGCAGCTACTGTGACACCTATATAAGTTTTGAGGATAGCAATTATACCCATTTGAGAGAACAAGGATATCTCAGACTGGACCTTGTGTGCATTTATGTGTTAGACTGGTGTTGCTACATAGCATAGTGCAATGAAAAAATGAAAATGAAGTATCTGGAAATTAAGACTGAACCTACCTGACACCAATCTAAATTTTAAAAACGTAATTGTTTTGTTTTTTACAGTAAACCTTAACCGTTTAGTACAAGCAGTTTCTTTCTTTCTCTCTTTTTTTTAAATATGCTTACAGGCTCCGTGTCATCCCCCTGGTTTTCATTGTGTAACAGCCTGAGAGAAGTACTCACATTACGGAAATCCCTGAAAGGGACGAACTGCACAATGTCCCGAACAGCCTCCTCTCCTGTGTTGGACCTCAAAACGCTGGCGTCTCCATCTAAGAACTCCATGGCAGCAAAGTCTGCGTTGCCCACGCCGATGATGATTATGGACATGGGTAGCTTTGACGCCTGTACGATGGCGTGACGTGTCTCGTCCATATCGCTAATGACACCGTCTGTTATAATGAGGAGAGTGAAGTACTGCTGCAGAGGGGAAGAGGGGTTGTGCAAGGGAAGAGATGGAGAGAGAAAGTAGGGAGAGAAGACACAAAGGGAAAATGAGAAATCACATTTTTATGTGATGTTACTGATGCATCTCAAATCTCAGTAACTTGAAATTTTCATCAAAATAAAAAAGAGAATCTGTTACAATATAATGATTATGGTGTCAAGAATGGTAAGCAGAGTAATATAGTGTTGTGGAAGTGGAGACGGAGGGCGAGGACAAAGACAGTCAAGGGTTAAATCTGGAAAAAAAAGCAATAAAGGAGTGTTAGGAGTGACAGTGAGGAGGAGACAGGAGCTGGACAACACTGCACGAGGGAGAGAAAAACAGAAAACAGAATGAAAGCTTTTCTGCATTACAGCAAGTTGGGCTCCATTCATATGACAGAACACACCATCTGTTCCTGGGAAAAAAATTATGGAAGAAAAAAGAGAAAAAAAAAGAAATCCAGTGATGAAAAAGAGAAAGAGCATACAAACATAAAATGATAAATGAAGCACTTTGAGGACACGTGAAATACACTCACATAAATGCTAGCATAGGACAGATGATGCAAAATACCACATAAGGAGGAGGTTGGGGTGGTGGAGGGATGAACAGCGTTGGCATGAGTACAATCTTTAAAGTAAACAGTGATAGTGTCTCTCATATACTCTACACCTGCGTGAATATGACACACAGCATCAAATGAGCCAATAACTGTGATGCTGATCAGCCAGTACAAGAGCATATTCCGCCTGAACTGACGCCATGCTTGATTTCAGTAAGAATTGACTACTTATATCAAATAGTTATAGAGTTAGATTTGGCTCTGCTGTTTGAGGGAGTTCTCAAAAGGCCAGATGTTACTGAACATGCTCTGCGGTAATGGTTAGATATAAGGCAGATCTTATACAGGCGCACACACACACACACACACACACACACACACACACACACACACACACACACACACACTCAAAGAACATGCATCGGTTCTGTGTATTTGAATGTAAATGGTTATCCTATGATAATAACACACAACGTGGAGACCACGCTGACTTTACTCGGAACAAAATCACACTTCCATTTTAATCACACACAGAAACACACACACAGGGAGGGCTGTGAAGCCTGTCTCTTTAATGTGCTAACAGCAGCGCTCATTAGAGAATCATTATCACACAGACAGACAGGGTCGCTCACACACTGGGCCACGCACAAACTACACTGGCCCGCAGCCTGTGTGTGTGTGTGTGTGTGTGTGTGTGTGTGTGTGTGTGTGTGTTAGTGGCAGAAGTGTGTTCGTACACAGTCACACAGTCTGCAGTCGCAGGTTCTCTCATTATCTGAGGAACAAGAACACTGAGCACAGAGCAGCAGCCGATTTGTGCAGCCTACAACCTACCCACCCACTTGCGCCAACACATACACACACACCAGTCTACCCACTACCCCAGCATGTGGTCCACACACACTTCTGCTGCGGCTGTCACATCTCATTGTCTGTTACTCCTTCCTATGTTCCACCCCTGTTTGAACTCACTGTAATGTAAAACAAGAAAAGGGTCTGCAATCATTTCCTTACAGAAACAAAAGGATTCTGGCACACAACTCACAGACGAGTACAATCCTTTGTGTATTTCGCTCATGTATTTGTTCTCCACAGGGTGACAGGGTACAATTAGGGACAAAAAGCACCGTGGGAGCATAATGATACCCAGCCACTGCACTCTCTTTAGATTTAGGCAGGAGACATGCCACTAGATATATTCAAGAGGGGCACGTGTACCATTTGTTGAAAGTTTGCAGATCCGAACCACCTGAGAGTGCTGCACATTGGTACATTTTTCTTACAGGTAATGTGATTTCTAACCCCAGTGTTGCTGTTTGTCGTCTCTCTTGCTGCCCTACAAACATCAGCAACACAGTTTGTGCCCCTGCTAATCTTGTCCAAGCAGCAGTGTAGTCTTGCAGTCTGAAACTTGATCTCAAGTACATCAGAGTGCGCAAGCGTAAACGGAAACAGACTGAACCAAGGACAGGGACAAGTGTTCTCCAGCTGCACAGCCTGCTGTTTCTTAACGGAGGTGTCTTTTTCTTATGAAATGACTGCTTCTTTCATTTGGCATTGCTAGCTCTGAATTTGAAAGACCAAACATTTGAAATTAAAATAAGTATGGCTTGATTTGGCTTTATTGGGGTTGCAACCCAGGGTCTTTGACAGTGCTAACCACTGCCTCACAGTAAACACATCTGTGGCTCCAAAGGCATAAATACCTCTCTTATTTCGGTCCCCAAGCGACAGATTTAGAAGCTGTGCTCGAGCACCAGCAGTGATTACACATTTAGTTGTGATTTGTCTCCCAGCGGCCAAATATTTCTCATTCGAGACTTGTGTATAGCCAAGGTGAAAAAACAACTTCTGGTGCAAATAGCAATGGAAATGTTTGGAAAAATTGTGACAAACAGATGTGGGGTGAAAACCAGTAAGCTTGATGGTGTGATGTGTATGCTGCAGGTGGGACCAAACAGTGTCTTTGATTAGACATGCAAAAGAGAGTAAGAAAAGTAAGAAAATGAAAATGAAATTCCTCAGCAAGAAATATTGTCTCAGAAATTGGAACATTAACCAGTCTGACTTCAGACTCCTCATTCATTTCAGCCAGACCACTGCCTGTGCAGAGGGCGCCGGTTGGAAAAGTGGGGTTATCAGGCAGTAATTTGATCCTGGGGCAACATTTGTCACAGCACAGTCCAATGTCACTTTGCCTGGACAAATATATGAGAGTGCACATTCCGGGTAAAATGTATAGTAGATCTAACATGTAGCATTATTTCATTCATTGAGACAGAGGAGCAACTTATTGCTTTCAGTTTTCAGTGTAAAATCCAGTGTCAGAGGAAAATAATTAGCATCTGATAAGCTTTCAAACTGGACTCAATATTTCCTTATTGATGTTCTAATCAGTATGTGTTTATTGGACCCATTAACAGTTCCTACCTCAATGAGACTGTACCGTAGCTCGAGGAATACTGTATGACTTCCTACCAAGAAATTCTACCAAAATAGAAAGCCATCATGGATGTGAGACTGAGCCTTAGGCTTGTTCTTCATTTGGACTTTATGTGTTACTGCCTCAGATACGTAACCCGGTGTTTGGATTATGATGGAAGTACTGTATGCAGAACTGTACACTAGTTTTGATTAAAACTAAACTCAGATTACAGGTGTACCGCTAAACTTATTTGTGATGTATTAGCTGGAAACATGTTTCAGAATTTCACCTATGTGAAAGGACCACAATAATGGCTTGAGATAAATGCTAACTTCATGCTCACAGGCTCACAGCGACAATGATAACATGCTGCTGTCAAGCAGGTATATTGTTTACCATGTTCGCCATCTTATGTTAGCATGCTAATTATCACTAAGCACAAAGTAACTGAGACAAATGGGATTGGCATTGGCTTTGCAGGTATTTGGTCATAAACCAAAGCATTGCACAAAGTAGAAGTTTGGCATGATGGTGAAAAGTGGATCCCCAAAGTGATTACAATTCATCCTGAGGGGGACATTGATGCGAGTACCAAATTTTACAGCAATCTATCCAATAATTTGTTGAAACATTTCTCTTAAAACCACAAATATCAACCTCCTGGTGGTGAGAGGATAACTTAGGGCATCACAAACGTCATTAGGATTCATTCTCTGCCACCCAGCTAATATTACCATCCCTACAGCCATGCTGCTAGCACAGAGTCAGATTTGTGAGTGAGTGGACAGGAGTGGAGGAAAACTACATATAAAATGACACAGAGGAGAAAATTAGATGGAGGATACGTCCATATCATGCTGTTAAGCCCAAAAATGTGTGAAATGCCTGGTCAGTGTCTCAGCTGAAAAGAGGTGTGAGATGGAGGAAGGGAAGACAGAAGTTGTCACTCCAGTCTGCCACCTTCCTCTCTGACACTCTGGTCAATGTGCCATGACTCGGAGCCAACAGATGCACACACTTGTTTGTCCCGTCAGTCATCAAACAGAGTAAATAAATTACGACAGCCACTCACTTCTGACTGCTCTTCTACTACTGGAGTGAATAATATTATTTAGTGGCATGTGTGTGTTTTCTTGGTGGAATCTGATCTACAAAATGATAACGAGAATCAATCTGATCACACCTTTGTGTGCACCAAACAGTGAAGTATTACAGAGACAGAGACATCTCCAGAGGCAGAGGGAAAAGAGAGGGTGGTGTCTGTTTTGTCTCAGAGGAAAAAGTATGAATGTACAGTGGCTCATAGTTCATAACTGCTCATACACACAGAAACACAAAAATGTGGACAACAAACCACTACAGAGAGCAAAAAGGAAGGAACCAAGGTTAATATCACTGGACAGAAAACTCAAGGGAAATGGTTCAATGATTTGGCACCAGGCAGGGTAAAGGTAAAGCAGAGAACACAGTAAGTGAGGTATCAGAAGATGAAAGAGGATATCAGTAAAGGGATCAAGTAATCTTAAAGAGTTGTTTGATGGCTCTGAGAAGGGTACAGAGTCTTGTGAAGTGATGAAATCAAAGAGGGTAGTAGAGAATTATACGAAGTGTTAGCTGTCAAATCGTTCACTGTGCAGAGGAGCAGTAATCTTTGAGCAACAAGAGCAGAAAGTACAATATCACTTTGAAAAGAAACAAAGAGTTTGAGATTCTGTAATAAAATGTGAAAGGAATTTGGAATTGTCATGCTATTTTTTTCTACTCATACAACTTGTGGATGTATTTTTCTTGTATATCAAGAAAGATAAAAATGAAATCAACAAATTGTTGGTTCAGTCTGGTAGAAAAAAAGCAGATTTGTTGTTTGACTGATACAGAAAATCAATTTTGTATTCTTGTGCAGAAAAGTGATAGAGCAACCAATTGGAGAGCAGAATCAGCGGGTTGGATTGTTTGTCCCGGGACACACAGACAGAGAGACTCCTTGGCCACTTGCCACAAACTCCTTTCCTCTCTCTCTAAGACACAACTCAGTGGGTTTTTTGGGAGAAACTGTGATGGTCTCCATTGTTTAGGCCTGTGAGGAGTTGTAAATCAAGAGCTGTTTAAAGTGAAAAGGTTAACCTGTGTTGTTGTGAAGTAAAAGTACTGACGGCCTGGTAACACACGTTCTGCAGAGCCTCGCCCAGGCCATTCACGTGTTGGACCAGCATGATGCTGAGGTAGTCAGAGGCTGGAGTTAAGTTTTTTTGGAGTGTATCAGAACCCGTCCTAACTCGCAAATCTCTTCCAGAGCTTGCAAAGGGGCAAAACTGTTTTAGGCGGCTTTCAGACTATAAAATGAAGTTATAACACCTGAAGTTTATTCAGCAGACAAGGAGAAGGGCAGTGGCAGTCACTTTTGATTGACAGGTGTCGTGACACGCCCCCTTCATATGCTGCCCGTTTTGGCTAAATTCATTCAGCCCAAAGGCTGACCTTTGACCAATCATGGCGCAGTAGCCACAGTTCAGTGACTTCGACCAATCATGGCGCAGTAGCCATTTATCCGACAAAATTAGGAAGAACATCGCCTGTCAGCCTAATGAGGGTCACCGCACCGCTGTACAGAGACAGAACAAGCTGGTAAATCACTGTCACGGATTGTGGACTGTATTACATTTTGTGGGGGACATGACCCTATATGAGTGACATGACATGAGCTCCAGCGGGGACCAGTTCTCTTTTTTAGGCAGTCAATTAGCCGATCACCTGTCAAACACACAGGTTGCAAAGTACACGTCTAAGACCACAGATTCTCCCAAATCGAGACAGGGCCTGGAGAATTTTTCGTGCTCCATATCTGAACTGCTGACCACAGATGACAACCAGCCACATCCAGATGCGGGCAGCTGCAGCCGCTGTAACCCCACGCAGGATGCGGCGGTCTGATAATGTTTCAGTAGCCGCACAGTGCGCTTTGAGAAAGCCAGGCACTTGTTGTCCTTGCATGTGGACATTACCCAATGATCTGCAGGGAGACACTGAAAGGTGAGCTGATGGTGAGGTACAGCAGTGTGGAGTTTGGCATGGTGATTAACCTGTTTTCGTCACAGAAAGGCCGTCGATTTGAGAGGCGTTTTAAATAAGGTATGCCCAAGCTCTGAAACAACTCTCTCTTCTACAAATAATTATTTTTGCTTTGGTTTTGTAGATGTATGTTGTTGCAAATTGTTGCTGGTACTTTTCTATAATGTGGTTGTAGCGCAATTGGCATGTGCTGATGTTTACAGAGGAGAGAGAGAGAGAGAGAGAGAGAGAGAGAGAGAGAGAGAGAGAGAGAGAGAGAGAGATTTGGCATCAGGTCTTTTATTTTGGGTTTGTCTCCCCAGTGTTGCCGTAGAGCCCTTGCTATAACAAAGTATACAATGTTGTTGCTGTAACTTCATGTGATGCTGCTGTTGCTGCTGTGTGTCGTATTGATGAGTATTTAAAGTATTTAAATGACAAAAAATGAATTACTCATGAATACAGGTGTAATACCACCTCACGTTTGTGAGCTGCCACGCCCTCAGTGTGCAAACCGCGAAAACCCTGTCGGCTGATGTTTCATATCTCTAAATTCCCGCCGGTGACCATACAGTGCAGGCGTGTCACCCCACAATCAGTTAACACACAATTACAGTTACACATAATTATGTTTGGTTACCAGTTTTCAATTGATATATTGATCAATACCATGCTTATAGATTACCTGTAAAATGTGAATAAAAATGATTATAACACTTGACACAACCATGATATATGATATGAGTTATAAGGTATTATACTGTTTATATGTGTTACACTCTGTGTCCTGTGTGGTGCTTAACAGTCTTTTAGGAATCCTTCTTCTTTTCAGTTCTCCATGGGTCCCACGTCGTTCTCAACCTAAAAGTTCACCTGTTACCTCATTGAATAGTTCAACCGTCCTGTTTAGAGCCCATTGATCTCTGTTTCGTCGAACTTCTGTCTCCACGCATTTTTCCAACAATATTGATTTTGCAAATGTGGATGATACGCCAAGATTGTGTTGGGTGTTGGTTGAAACATGTAGTTTAGCTAGTTAGAAAAAAATGGTATGTTGGTATGTAGCAGTTATTTTCACTGTACAGTTCATTTGAAATGCTGTTATTTTGAAAACGTTTTTTTTATCCTTTTTTGCTCTTTTTTGGGTTTAGTGTTTTGTCTATATGTATTACTGGAAGATATATGTATGTTTCTGTCGAACAGAGGTTTTCTTGTAATCCCATGTGGGATTGGTAGGATGTATTGCATGACAGAAATAAAAACTAAACTAAAAAGTGTGTGCTTTTAAAGGTGCATTATTAATTAATTTGATTTAATTACACATGTACATTATTACATTATTTATTAAGATAGATTCGTCTAGAGTATAGCTACAAAATGTGGTGCTTTTAGTTTCTCTCGACATTTTTAGATGCACAGCCTCTCTGTGAGCTGTAGGAAACTCACTCACCCACTCACAGGTCACGATTAGCTTGGTGTGCTGCAATATGTTGTTTGCAGTCATGTGATTGTGACACTTGAAATGCAGAATGAGGCAGTAAATGAAAGGCAGAATGGATGAGATGGAAAGATGAAACTGTGCTAGCCATTGTTTACTCATTGTGACGTCCCAGTCAACATGTGTGTGACCAATGGAATTGGCAAATTCATTCTTCACCTATTTGGAGATCACAATGACCTTTGACATTTGAGTCAAAAGTGTCAGCAGTTAAATGTCGGACCAACTGTGAAATGTCTGTCAAGCCCACCAATTCATCAATGTCACCTCTGACCTTTGACCACCAAATAATTAGTTCACCAGAAGTTTTCTCAAGGCATTTCTGAGATATTGCTTTTACAAGAATGGGATGAACAGACACCACTAGTGTGGCTAAAACAATAAAACTGAATAAAACACTGTTCTTTTACATCTAACAAACCTTACAGTGGAAACAATTCAACTAAAAGATTAGAAAGATATGACAGTGATGGTGCCTGCTTCAACTCAAGGAACGAAAGAGACAGTTTAACCAGGAGAAGCTGCTGGTGGAGCTACCAAGGGCGTAACTTGGGGGACCCCAGTTTGCAGAGTTTCTTATGGAGTTGCCTAAAATTAGCAATTTGGATGAATTTGTGCAGATTATTTCCTTTGAATATTGATCATAGATGAGTTTTCCTGATATTTTTTATAATTCGCTGTCTGTGAATATAGCTTCTGTTCAGATCTTTAAAGAACCTAAATACAAATCTAAATTTTAAAAATGACAATTTAATTATTTTTTACAGAAATGAACAACATACTGTGATACAGGCCTACTGTGTATATTTTTAAAGTTTGCTTACACCCCTTACAATCAAGTAGGCCTTGCGACCCCCTGCAAAGCTTTGGCGACCCCCAGGTTGGGAACCATTGACTGAGACCATCCTGCATGACAAAGTGTAGAATTAAAACCCATGTCAAATAAAGAACCAAATAAGGTAGATTTCCCATGAGCATAAAGTCCACTCCACCTTTGCCCTTCTGCCACCCTCATGCCTCTTCAACATAACAAACCTAAAACTCTAATGAGCTCCCCAGAGGGGACATTTCGGTCAAGACCTGTGCATATATTGGCAGGATTGTAATGAAATGTGTAGGTGATACACAACTACTCACAGACAGGACGAAGAGCTAAGTTGATTGGCCGATTGGTTGGAGTCCATGCATTTTTTGGGGCGATTTTTGTCATTTTATTTTTACAGTTTTTACAACAGCTTTAAAACAGCTGTAGAGCCAGAATAATTTCACATCTAATTGCCGTGAGTTTATTCCGACTAGTCTGACGACTGGGCATACAGTAAAGAGGTGATTCACTGAGGCTCTAACCAGGATATTTTCACATCTAACTCGGTTAGATGGTTAGACAGCAGAGTTTCTGATTGTCGGAACTGTGCAAAGACATATTAAAGACAGTTTGGTGAGTTTTATTTTGTTTCTATCGCATTTGAATGAAGTGTGTTTTAAGATTGCTTAATAAGGTCTTAGAAGGTGTGCGGTTGTATTTTTCTGTTTATTGAGGACAAAATGTGTTTCTCTTTTCCTTTCTTGACATTTGGTGACTCTTTTTTGTTTATTAAAGCTATGAGAATTCGTCGCACATAGCAAACTCACTGCTCATCTCTCAGCTGCAATATATCAGCAGTCACCGGTTGTTGGACTGACGGTGGCTGGTCAGAAAATTTTAACATATCGCCCAACCCTGTTACATACTGTATCATCCCCTGAGTCTCATCTTTCTTGTTGGAAGAATAGTTTAAACCTGGAAAGGCAGATAAATAGGTAAGCTGTTGTCACCTACCGCTGCTTTCTCTTGCTGAAGTGCCTGGGCAGCAAAACGTGCTACATGGCTGATGATTGGAGAAAAGTTTGTCGGGCCGTAGAAACGAATGTGAGGGAGACAGGCCGAGTAGGCCTGGGCAATACCCTCGACACCTACACACAGGGAGACAGAGAGAAAGAATTTTAATTCCAACACACCTTAAAATGTATTAACTGAGGGCCAGAAGTTTGTGATACATGTTATTGTTTCTCATCAATTATTTTAAACTGCAAACAGCTTAAACAACCAGATTATAGACCTTTTTCACAGCAAGGTTCTGTTCCATTTAGTGTATCAGAGCCTTTCCAGTTAGCCAACATGCACTACAGCAGCACCCTGACTCTGTTTGACCTGAATGGAACTGAACCCTAATTAGTATCATTGGTAACCTGTGTGTTTACCCTGATATTTATGTCAAAATGGCCGCTGTGAAAAAGGTCTATTGAATGTGTGTCATTTGATGAACACCAGCCACCTGTCTCAACGACTTGAATATCTTTTTGTTTCTTTAAGGGGATTGGAAACACTTGCAACTTAAACACAGGTGTTTAGTTTTCATGTTTATTTCTTGATATGACTTGTGTTCTCTTCATTCGCATCTCAATTTGATAAAAATATACATATATAAAAAATGTATGTAAAAAATGCTGGGAAAAATGAAAGATATTTGAAAATACTGTATATTAATAGATGAGAACAAAATGTTCACTCCTTGTTAGGATGGTTGCATATTGCACTTTATAGTAAGAAGGTTTATAAAGCACCACTTTGTGACTGCAGTCCTCCAAATCTGCTTTTATTGTTGTTTTACCATTGTGTGTGCACTGGAGGCTGTATTGGCCTTTCCAAGAAAAGATGAGCTGTAATGTATGTAGCAGTTCATCTGCTAACCTTAAAAAGAAATGCTGTCTGTGGAAGCAGATGTTTTAATAACGACAAGCCGTACACCTAATTTGAAGGAGCACACGTTTCGACACAGGTCTTCTTCAGCAGAGGGCTGAGTATCAGTGCTCTTATTGAGCATAACCTCCTGCATCTGTCAGGCAAATTTATGTGTTACACTGTTTCATTCAGTCTCTCAGTTGTGCTCTCAGCAGTTGGTACTCAAGACGTTTGCATTTGTCAATAAACACATTTGCATCCTACACATTTCAAATGCTAATGGTTTCGTTCACAGATCCAAATGTATCAAAAAGAAATGTTTACTTTGTGGTTTATTAAAACAAGGTGAAAGATTTTTAAAATCTGTTCAATTTGAATTACGATGAAGGTGAGGAAAAGACTGCTGAGTAACCTGGCATCCTGTTTCATATGAGACTAAGAATCTACAGCTAGCAGCTCTGTGAGGCTGTACCTGACCACAGCGGTGCTAAATGCTAACATTAACATGCTGCTCACCATAACAAAGATAGCATGTAATAATGTAATAATGAAATAAGTTTAAATGTTTACCATATTTTACTTATTAGTTTAGTATGTGAGCATGCTAGCATTTGCTAATTAGCTATAAAAAAAAAAAGCTGCGGTTGATGTCATTAGTTTTGCTTGCTTACTCTTTATCTTCAGCCAAAATGTACCATATGCTCAGAGAGCATTTGTAAAGATACTCAGATTATCCAAATCATATGCTATCTTGAACTGTAAAGTCAAAGGAAAATGACCTTGCTGTACATTCTTACAGATCTCATCCAAAACATTTCTACACAGGCTGGTGGGAAGTCCCAGGCATTTAACTTCTTTAGATTTGCACACAATCAAATAAATGTAGATGCACTTATCTGGATCATTCACTGGTCTGAACAGGAGCAACTGTTTGGTGTCTTAGTGTGCACTGGCGTTCATACTGCCAATTTAGACAAACGCCCTAAGTAGAGTGTAGGTGAAGTGTGAAGGTGTTATTTACTCAGACTCAGCAAGACACTCACAGAGGAGTGCAGCACCTGCTGCTGTCGCATGATCTGGAGATGGAAGGTTTTTTTGTTTTTTTTACTGGATGTCCTGTATTCTTGTTAAACTGAAGAATACTCCAGTTTTAGGTCTTTCCCTGTAGAGTTCTATTTATTTCTACCCAGCCACAACAGCATTGTAGCCTTATGCCCAGATGTTTATAGAGAAAAAAAGGACTATACACTGTCCTTTAATTTTGACTTTCTGAAGCCTCTCAAGCAGTGGTGGCAACCTTTCTGTTGTTGCAACACTAGTGTAGTCATATTTCATGCCTGACAGTATCATTGTATGCTTGTATTGTAGCTTAGTATCTCTGTTAATGCAGCTGGCTGGGAGGAGGCTTAGATACAGGCCACACAGAAGACAACCATCAATAAGCAACAGTGTTTTTGGCTGATGCTATTATGAGTGGAATAGTGTTGTAAACAGAAAACAGAAAACAGAAAACAGAAAAAGATGTTAGTGAGGCATCGCGCGCAAGCGAAGGTTCAGCTGGCTCTTGTTAATGGTTAAATTAAGTCAAGTTTGTTTGTATCAATATGAAATACAATGTCATGTTGCAATGGGCTTTACAGGCTCATATTAGCTAACATATTAGCCTATAATAAGACAAGATATAGATGCAACATTGACTTTTTGTAGATATTGCAGTTCAGAGATGCCAGAGATATGTTTAAGGCAATTTAAGATCATAGGTTTATGTTATGTGTTTATATTAGAAAGTGTCAACTCATATATGGCCTAGAATAGCAATACTGGTGTCAACTTAGTCTGATCCAATAAAAAGAAAATTGAAGCATGATGTAAAAATGAAAAAAAAGTAATTTATATTTTTAAAGGTTGCAGCAGGGTCATCGATGTGACTACTGCACAGTAGCTCACCTGAACAGAAGGGGTTGGTGGGGTTAAAGTTGATGGCAAATTCATGTGACACCTGAGGAGACAGGAACCACAGAGAACAAAGTACACTGTAAAATATTGTTGAGAAATACTGTCCATTTCTCCCACACTTTCTCCCTCCCTCCCACCCTCACTCGCTCTCTCTCTCTCTCTCTCTCTCTCTCTCTCTCTCTCTCTGTTCACCGCTCTCTCTCCTTTGTCCTTTTCATCAGCTCACTGCCATGGCAACACAGATGGGTTGACAGTTGCGTAATCATGTGAATATGCATGTATAATGCTTACAGTTTTATCTGTGTGTGTGTGTGTGTGTGTGTGTGTGTGTGTGTGTGAAAAATGCATGTATAATATAGGCTTGTTTTAACTGTAAGTTAACATATGACACCCCTACCCTCTTTCTCTTTCTCTCTCTCTCACTTTATCACACACACACACACACACACACACACACACACACACACACACACACGTATCTCACTATCTGTGTCTAGCTATATATACAAAACAATAACAACAACAACAACAACAACAGCACTAACAAATACACACATACCTTCCAGTCTGGTGGGAGTTGGGCTCCAAATCCCAGAGCAGGAAACATTTTGTCGCTGAGAAGGAAACCATGGCAACAGATTGGAACGTTAGTTAAACCTTTTTCCATTTTTTTCATCCAAATTCAACAAGCTGGATTAAGACAGCAGAGGAAATCCTGTTACCTTTTTCACAAAGAAACACATTCAAAGACATTTGCAGAGAAACAAGCAGACAGCTGGTAGAATAATATGAAGCAATATTGTAAAATGGCTTCTCAGCAAGACAAGGGCAGGATGCACAAAGATTCTGACGTATTGTCTTTTTGACCAACAGAGATTTTCCTGACACTAAAAAATTGCTGAGAGAGAAGAGTTTACCTTTAATATTCTTAACAACGCCATCTCTGTATTACTGGTGGTCTTCAGTATGTTTTCAGTGACAGAAGGTCTGAAAATCGTATTTGTAACAAAGCAGCTGGTTGTGTGTGTGTTGGTGTGCACCACTGACGCCCATGTTAAAGCTCTGCACGGTAGTTCTGGAGTAGATGATAGGATTAAGATGGATATTAGGAACTGAAAAAACAGTAAAGCCTACAGTGATGTACACTGACAGAAGGGAAACCATTTCTTTGTTACTGTTGACTGTCACACTGGTGCTTGTAAAGACGCTCTGAGACATATGATCATTGTCTTTTTCGTACTGTCCCAGGTCCATCTCGTGCTTTCAGTGAAGGTGATCACCTAGAAAGATCACAACATCTGACCATTTAAATTACCAGTGTGTAGGAGGTGATTATACACTAATGAAAACATGGTAATGAATATTATATTCCATTTCTGCCAATAGATCCTCCTAAATGTTACACACTGGCCCTTTGAGACTGGAGTCGGCTATCTTAAGATCCATTCCTCCAGTCCTAATTGATTTAAAAAACGGCAACTACCAAGAAGGCTGCATTAGATACTCACGTATCATAGTCCTGTATGATTTGTCCCACAGCCAAAATTGCGGCGAGATACTCGTTGCTGCCCAGTGGGTTAATGTAGTGGAGGGAGGACGGCTCCCGAGGGTTCCCATTAGATGCTGTGAAGTCTATACCGACCTATGGAAAAAGAGAGACAGGACAGATTCTTGAGGTGCATTGTTTTACAATAGTCATTTTAATTGTCCTAATCTTCTCCACTAAGTATACACAAACAAAGCAGGATTACCTACAATAATGGTAAGGCAGGTGAATTAAGGCAGCAGCAGCAAACTTAAAAAAAAAAAAATTGTTGTAGGAGCATTGTAGGAGACCAGTTTTATAGTTCCTTCAGTGAAACACTTTATTCTGATAAGAACCCATAAGGCAAAATGAGTTCTGACACAAGCTGTGACTTTTAATAATGATATATCATCTAAATGTGGCACGAGTAATTTAATGTCAGCTCTTAATGTGACACTCATTGATGCCTCTGTCACTTAACTGGAGCTACTGATAGTTTAAGTTTGTTTCTCTGTTCAGAGGGCAGTAAAAGTGCAATAAAACTACATAACTACAACTAACTTAGTGTTCAGATTCACAAAGTGAGGTTGATTCAGCTAACATCGCCCTTTTTGCACAACATCACAGGCATAGCTGTTTGGTTCTGTTGCTCCATACTGGTAACATGGTCTATGTTCACATTTTCAAAAAGAAGAACCAGATAACTCAGAAGTCACTGAAAAAAAGAGATTGATTAAAGGACCAGTGTGTAGGATTTAGGGACATCTAGCGGTGAAGTTGCAGATTGCCTTACCCTCACTTCACCCTCCTCTTCTAAGCACAAAGGAAACACACAAAAAACAAACAAACAAAAAAACATCTCTATCTGCAGACAGTGTTTGGTTTGTCTGTTCTGGGCTACTGTAGAAACATGTCGGTTCAACATAGCAGCCTCCACGAAAGGCAACCCGCAGAGTCTATAGATACAAATGGGTGATTCTAAGGTAGGTAACAATTCTTATGTTCAGGTGACTAAACAGTAATGAAAACGTAGTTATGAATATTAAATTCTATTTCTACCAATAAATCCTCCTAAATGTTACACACTGGACCTTTGAGGGTTCAATATGAAACAAAAAAAAAGGTTCATACACTTTCCGCCATTCAGTGTATTTTTAAAATGTGAAGTGAGGGTCTGAAGAAAAAAAAGAGAGAAACTGCAGTTGTTGGTTCAGCGTTCAGTGAGAATGTCGACAGTCTCATTTTGAGAAAAATGCACCACTTACATCCCTTGTTTGAGAGCCAATTGATATGATTTAGTTGTTACTGTCATCCATTTTTCATCTCCACAATGCATTTTGTGCCATGATACATCATTACAACCTATGTATCTGTCAATCCTTGTGCCTGCAAATTTCACATTTAACTTGTTAGATTAAAATGCACATGGTCCTTTGTCTACCGAGTAATTTTACCCCTATAACGCCAAATGTGTATGTTCACATATGTGATACATGAGTTTTTGAGCCCTCCACATGAGCAGTGTGACAATTTTTTCCCTTAAAAACCCGATGTATACAATTATATACATGCAGTGCACGGATAATCCACCAGGGGGCAGTAATCTGCTCACTAGAGGGCTTTCCAGCCATGCTACAAGACTGCCATTAATCAGGAAGTGGACACGTGGTTTCTTCCAGACTTCCCTACCAGTTCCATTGCTGCATTGTTTTTGTTGGATTTGTTGGATTTGTTTGTGTATTTTTTGTTCAAGAAAAAAAAGAATCTTTGAGCATTGTGACCCGCTATATCAAATATGATACAAATTAAAACTCCTATATGGACATTGATATTTGAAATTTTTTTTTTTTGGTATGTCCAGAAGGACCAATAAAAGCTCCAGTTTCAAAGAATTTGAATTTTCTGTCAATTATTTAATGGTTTGGGCTTTACAGGGTTACTAATTCATCAGATACATTAAAAACATTGTGGGGCGCCAGGTTGGCTCGGTCGGTAGAGCTGACGACCCATGCATGTAGTTGCTGCAGCGGCCCGGGTTCGAGTCTGACCTGCGGCCCTTTGCTGAGTGTCGTCCCCTCTCTCTGTCCCCCTTTCCTGTCTATCTTCGGCTGTCACTATCAATAAAGGCAATAAAAGGCCAAAAAAAAACAAAACATTGCAAGTTTAATATAAAGTTCTCCAAGCAAGGGATGAATCTGTTCTTCTTCATCTTTGGACATACAAGGTTTTCATCTGAGGACATATAAAAGAAACCCTGTAGTGCAGCCGTGTCTCAGAAAGCGAGAATGGCCCTGAAACCACACAGAGGCATATTTTTAACACAGACGACCACAGGGTGACACTGTAGTGGCATACAGTATACACAAACATGAACACACAGATGCTTTAAACACATGTACCCCAAAGTACAAATGCACAAACACATAAGGCACGCACACACACAGAGACACACAGCCTAACATAATATGAGATGAAGAGTGACAAGCTTTTCCTCAGGCGGTAAATAGTGGTTTGTGTGCTGACAAGAACCTGACCCAGAAACTCCGCCTCCTTCCTATCAGTTTAAAGAAAGTCTAAACCATCTCTCTCTCTCTTTGTCTGACTGTTATAAAACAACAATGTTCTGGTTGAATGGGGACAATGACCCAAGGAAGAGAAAATGGCGAAGTGGGAAGAGAGAGAGCAAACGTGGTAGGTGTGTGAGAACAAGAACGAAAATTGGGCAAATGAGGTAAAGAATGGGAGGAGAGAGAGAGAGAGGACGGAGCATAAAGCGCAGCAGGAGCAGCAGGAGTGACAGAGACAGAGATGCAAGGTGACAGAATTAGGGTGCTGTTGTGTATTTTGTGTCCGTGCGAGCCTGTGTTTGTCCCAAACGACATATGTGTGGAAATAGAGGCATACAGCATACTACTCTTGGTTCAGTGTGCCAAGTGAACAAATCATTTCTCCTGCAATCACAGCTCGTTTCTGGAAATGAAACAACGTAACAGGTAACAGTAGTGCTGAGCATTTTGTTAGTTTATCAACACTGACAGAGCTCCATGTCTGTTTAGAGACAACCAATGGGGGGCACTTCACAACACAAAAGGAGTCAGTAAGTCTCCAAACTTCCAGCACCATCTCTTTTTTGTGGATTCAGAGAACAGGCCCTGCAATTCCTGTTCCAGGTAACATTTTTATAAGTTTGCCTTACACACCAGCACACTGGTGTTTCTTATATAGGCATATAATAGATGTTACTGTGTAGTTACATAGGTGGAATTACATTTCCATTAACTGTCTTTAATATTTGGTCTGCTGAAGGTGACACCGATATTTTACAGTGTTTCATTACAATTAAATGGCACATAGCCTTTACCTCAGTAGTTCTATATCTATCTGGGATATCTGGGAAATTGCATTAGGTTGTTCTAATAGATGTACACTGGTGGCCAGCATGCTGAAAATCACTTGATATGCCTCTATTAAAATAATGTAACTTCAACCAATTCAAATTCAAGTAAATTATGGCTCTTTTTTGTGATGGTCATTTATAAAATCCTATCCATTTAAAATGTTAATAGCTACATAGCTCTATTTAGACAATTTGAGTGACCAAATGAACCACAAAAAAAAATACGTATTGGCAAACAAGTTTAAGGAGGAAGGAGTGTAATTTTGATTTGTTCCTGTTGTCTATATCGGTGACATTAATTTTTCAGCCCTGGCATCTGTTCATTTTGTCGTAATATGAAAATATGTATACCTAAACTGACAAGTTGATGGCACAAAATCATCCAAAAAAATTATTACGGAATTTTCCCTCCTGTGCCCTCTCTGGTGACAGACATTTAAAGTTTGATCCCTGTGAATTCAATGACAGTGGGAGATGACACCATTCTGTTTCCAACTTATTCCTCGCCCCAAGCTATGAGTAATTGCTAACACACAAGTAGTTTAAACACAACAGGACAAACACACAATTCCAACAAGCAAGTGCACAGAATAAGAATGAATAGGGGGTGACAGAGCAGCATCTCATTACTTTATAAATCAGAGCAGCAATGTAGCAGAAAACGTCTGTGGCTGCGGTAAATTAGAGGGATTCAACTACTGCCAAATTACTGTCAAATAACTGACATACTGACATTCACTTTGGAGTTTTCTCAGCTGTGCCTTGCCGAGTATCAGCCAATTCTCACGCCAGGACCTCTCAGACTCATTTGCAGTTAAACAGCCATAGAGATGAATGAAGGGGAGGTTGGATGGATCAGTGTGTGTGAGCATCTTCTGGAGTTATTCTTTTTCACTCTGAGGTGATCCCAGTGATAACCAGCTGCTGTCTACTGCAAGACTTGACTGTACTATTGGACTCTGTTTTTGGTCACAATTCACCCTTGTGTATTGTGTAGTATTATTGTGTAAAAATCCCAGTAGCTCCAAGCATTCATTGGTGCATGGCTAACCTCATCCCTATAGCAGCTGTAAGAATGTGTCATATATAGTCATATTAGGTATAACAATAATCATTTTATATTGTGGTTGAATTTTAAAGACAGAACCAGGCCTTTATTTGTCAATGCAAACTAAACAAATCACAATAATAATCAAGAGATCAAAATGTATAAATACTGTTCTTCTCACTCACTTATTCATTAGAGTTGATTCCACTTTGCTGTTTTTTTCATTGGTGTTAAATATTAATGTAATTCAACATTTCCTGCACAGATGCTACATTTAAAGCCCTATTGTAGCTCAAAAAGCACACACTTACGTTGTACGCTTTTAATGTGAAACATCTGCAGGAAATAAGTTTTATTTACAGTAACTTAGCACTGATAAAACAAAAACAACACTACAGAAATGTACTTCCTTGTATGTGGCAATCTCCAAAAGCAATGGATCCTACAATTCCCATAATGCATTTTACTAGCATCTTTATTAGACCCTCCCTGCCCTCTAAATAGTCTATGTCTTTCAAAACACCCCTCAAGTTTCTAATGCAGGCTTTACATTGAAAAGTCTCAATCTTAAACCAATATAACCATCATGACATCATAATTTCAAACTCTGGATGCTACAGAAGATATTATAGATTTTAGTAGCACGTACCATGAGTAGTAAACTGAACTTCA